TTTTTGTGAAAATCACTTCGGAAATCCCGTTAAATCCTTTTGGTTTTGTTGTGTGTGTGTTCTATGAATAATCCTCGTCGCCAGATGTGGTGTTTACGGCTGAATAACCACTGAGACGTTCGGTAGAAACACAACGATATTTTAATCAACCTGTGAGACCGAAACCCGACTACAGAATAACTTCTCTTCATAGGGACCGCGTGTGCATTCCGAACATTATGATTGGCAGCTGTCAGAAACACTACAGTCAGCGGATGACTTTTTCATCGCTGAACGACCTCGCTGAACGACCTCGCTGAACAAGATAGACTCTGCCCTCTCTTCGTTATGTAAGTAGCCATTTCTTCTTTGACTCATCGGTGTTTTCACATTGATATTTCATCGTTCCGCTTCGAGACACGCGGTTAACAATACCCATGAGCAAGGAGTTAAGATCTAACTTATTAACTTTTACTATTTTTATCATCCAATCACAGGTCGGAGCCATTCCTGTATTTAGTCGCTAGTATTTTTTTAGGAAAATAATGTGAGAAGCACTCACCCGCCAAAATCATGAGTGTTTCGTTTGTGTGAACCGTATCAAGGCGACAACATTCAACTTTCAATAGCAGAGTTTCGCCTTACAGATAGACTTGATGGTATGCCTTGAAGAACGAAGAAAAACACAGAATGATGTAATGTGATTTAATGAGATGTAAATAAGTCGCCGAACAAGACAAACGAGGTAAGAAAGTTTTGCCTGGACTTCGACTTAAGGCGCTTTGATACGATACTGATTGATCCCGAAACTGTGACCGAGGTCTTGAAAATGCTGGCCGTATGCCGAGGGCAGTATTTTCAAGGCCGAAGTCACAGTTTTTTACCATACGGACCGACCCTTAGCCGGTAAATAACATATATATTTTTTTTAAACTTAACGAAGTACATTCTGAAAGAACCCGAATGATTTTGGGCTATAAATTCGGCAAGATCTTCCATAAACTGAACAATTTTTGAGTGAGTAAATGGTAGTTAAAGTAAAGGTGATACAAATTAAAGAGAGATGCTTCACTGATTTTCACTTGCGTAATGATCAAGTTGATTTAAAAGGCTTCCAAACAAAGATTGAAACATTATTTTTACAAGTATCTGTCACAATCTGACACCTGTCAATTAGAGAGCGCGTAAGAAAAAAAAGCGCAAGAAGATTTGAAAAACAACGGAACTAGTTTGGCAAGGACTGTTACAACAATGTTTTCTTCAAAAACAATCAATGATATAACGGAAAGTATTATTCACTCTCATCGACGATTCATTCATGTACGAAGATTTACCTCTGTTCATTAAGTAAACGGCCAGGAAAGTAATTGTGAGTAAATTCAAATTTTTATTTTGAAGTTGTGAGAGTTTGCTCGTTTGTTTGCTGCAACGACGTGTGTAAATCTGGCCTTTCCTCCATAAAAACTAAATTCGAACGGCACACTACAACGAGACACATGGGGATTTAATGCAGCCTTTGGTAAAATTTCCGCACAGCCCCATACTATTGTTAAACAAATCTGTTTTCCCAATGGCAATGTATTGTTTTAGTCATTGTTTTCTCTATTCAAGAACTGAATGCATAATGAAGTATGGGGCTGTGCGGAAATTTTACCCACGTTTCAACTTTCTAGGTACTTTTTGTGAACGATTAAAATCAATTGCAGACGGTTTTTGGGCCGCTTGTCAACCAACGTAATGACACTATTGCTTATACAAATTCATTCTGAAACCAATATTTTTTTGTCAACCAAAGTGATTTGAGAGAGAGAAAAGAGAGGATTCTTAAGTCGGCTTGAGGTAGTGACCGATGTGTTTGCATAAAAATACTGCCCAGCCGGCAAAACGAGGTGTATTTATGAAAAATGGCAACGAAAGTTGAGATGTACACGGCGACTCACGAAAGCGTTACCGTGGCCCGTGGGCAGAGATAGGAAAATACTGACCGGGTAAAGAACCAATCAGATTGCAAGATTCGTTACCGTGCCCTCTATAAAAAAAATAAATATATATATATATATATATATATAAATTGGAAAAATTGCCAACTTTCCATGCGTGTATTTTTTATGGTATTTTTATGATTTTTCCATGGTTTTTGATTAAATGCCATGTGTGGAAAGGTACCCTTTTTCCACACTTGACTTTTGCATGAATCTACAGATGGTTTTTAAGCTTTCCAAATGTGGACATTATTTATGGACCAGATTAGTGCTTATCGTGGAAATTTCAATTTGCAAGAAAGGATATTGGGATATCCAAGATAACTTTTCCCAACAAAGGAAATTTGAATTACAAGAAAGGTCTTAGTATAATTCCACAAATGGATTAAATTTACCATACATTGAAATTGTTTTTAAACCAGAAGCATGGAATTTACAATTTCCAAAAAGTAAATCTGACATAGGCATAGATTAGATGAATTAATTATGTATAACTTATATGTAAGTGAATCAATGAAATAGTAGTCTCACCGAGCTGGTGCGATGATATTGGAATAAACAATAATATTTTACGATTGGTAGGAGCCTATTACTGGCTCCTGACAGCTAGAGAAGCGTTGTTTAATTTGTATACATTATGTCATGTTAATTATGTAAACTTAGACCATAATTGAGGGTGGTAAAGGGGAGAGTCCTTTGATCACTTTTCACGAAAAATAAAATGGCCATTCACGTTCCACGCAATATGAAATAGCCATTTCACGAAACGAAGATAAAAGGTGTGAAATTACCTGTTGGAATGAAGAGACCTGGGACCCAGAATGATGATTAGCTAATCACAGTCATGTTTCTCCACGTAGACTTGTTTTGAGACGCTTACTGGATTATTTTTTATAGGAAGAGGAACAATAACGGTTCAAGTCACATTTCGCGAAAAAAAAACAATCGTTTCGTAATTCTCATAAAAAAGCTGTTCACTGTTCACTGCTATGTAACCAACTAACGTTTCACGAAAAAAAACCGTCCCCCTCTACAATAATAACAATTAATTATTAGTAGAAGTACTATTATTATTATTATTATTATTAAATATGAACTATTAACCATTAATTGTTAACTATTACCAACACGAATTCTACCAACGACCCACGACCCACGACCCACGACCCACGACCCACGACCCACGACCCACGACCCACGACCCACGACCCACGACCCACGACCCACGACCCACGACCATTAGTCAAACTCGATATTTTCATGTGTGCGCGCTATTTTCTTTGTTTTCAAGTGTACTGTCTCTCCCGCAAAAGATAACGAGATACAGTTTTCAAAACCTTATTCTAAGTATTCTCTATTCTTTTAAGCATATTTCGTTGCAACGAGTCCTCGTGCGAAACCATTCAAATGGAAATGAGTTTGATTTGCATGAAAATGGATGTGCAGGTGAAACTCATTTTCTTATGAATGGTTTCGCACGAAGACTCATTTCGACACAGAGGTGAAAGGTAACTCGAAAATGGCCTATTGAAAATTCAACAAAAAATTAAAGGGAAACTCAGAAGAATTTGACAACTGCATGGTTCATGAATTTGCAAGGTTAGGCACAAAAAAAAAACGTCATTTAGATTACAGTTACTGCATGCAGACCATTTTGCTGGCCATTACCATTTTCATCTTTGCTTAGAGCAGGGTTTTGCATTTTTGTACTTACACTTCGAATTAACCCTTTGACCCCTAAGAGTGATTAGCATATAATTTCTCCCTACAGAGTCATTGCCATATTTAAACATTAAGATCACAGGAATTAAGGAAATGATTAACAACTAAAGAAGCTATTGATTATTATACAAATTTTCCTTATTACTTTATTAGGAAACGTGGAGAGAACAGAATGGAGAATGTACATGCTGATGTTAGGGTGTAATGGGTTAACTTTTGTATAAGCATGCGACCCTGAAATGCAAAACCGTAAAAGTACATAACAACAACAAATGCACGTGGCAATTTCACTTAACCTGTAGAGTTCAATCTCGAATTTGAACTAAGGAGGGCCTTTATTTCTTCGAGTAGTAAAAACCGTCTTCCCATAGTCTTAACACCTATTTCCTTCAAATCGGCACGATCAATACCTCTTAAAGCCTTCCCATACATTTTCTCAACTAAAATATAATGAACAAATAAATTTTCATTGCCCTCATCAGTAAGTTATGTAGAGTTCAAGCTCGAATTTGAACCAAGGAGGGCCTTTATTTCTTTGAGTAGTAAAAAACCGTCTTTCCATAGTCTTAACACCCATCTCCTTCAAATCGGCACGATCAGTACCTCTTAAAGCCTTCCCATACATTTTCTGAACTAAAATATAATGAACAAATAAATTTTCATTGCCCTCATCAGTGAGTCATGCAAGTAAGTTTCTTCTATTAGACATATCCAGAGGAATTTCCCTTTTCTTCCTTTTAACTTGAAATTTCCTTCCCTTACTTACCTTACCGTGCTAGTGTGACAGGTACTAGAATAAAAAGATAACAAAAATTATGCGGCTGTATTTAAGCTAAGAATGCTCACCCCCTTAGTTAAATTTTCTTTCTCTCCCCAGCCTTCCGCTGCCATTAAAGTCAAAGATGGCGGCTATAATTTTCGTTTAGGAATTACTGAGCACTCGCTCGCCAAAAGTACGCCTGCTCTGCAGGCTAGTCTCAGTGGACTTAACCTTTGGCTGTAAAACAGAAAAAATTAGCTGTTACGCGTAAAAATTGACAAAATTTAACCGTTAGTCGTAAAAGAAGTCAACCGTGAAATTTATTTCTTTCAATCACAATAAAAAGAAATGAACCGATAGGCCATCCACACTGTGCCAGTTCACCAGTTATCGTGGATTAAATCAGGGAGTGTTTCAAGGTAGATAACATGAGATTTTCATCGTTTTCTTTTTTCCATTAGGTTTCAAGACTTATTGAGAATCTTACACCTCACCTAAATAGACGTATTTCGTATCTGTCAATCACCCCTTTGAATTTCTAACACATTTGAATTTTTTATCAACAGATTTTCAAGTACTATCAAGATCGACTTTGGCTATTTACTAGCGACTCCTCCCAGAGAGACGTCATTCGAGAATACGATGAGTGGGCCGGAAACTATGACCAGGTAATTAAAAAAAGATGTCGACGCGGCAAAACAATAGGGTGGGGACCCGTCGAGCATCGACTACGGAGCTCAAATTTTTGCTAGAGTAAACACTGCTTAACAACGGTTTTTTGTGTAAAGATAGGTAAGCACCGGTGTTTTTTCAGGTTCTCACAAAGTGTGACTTCTTAGCTCAGTTGGTAGAAGCGCCCAACTATTATCCGGGAGGCATGGGTTCGCATCCCGTCGAAGCCTTAATTTTTTTTTCAGGCTTGTTTTATGCATGACACCAGTTTGGTGGTCTCAATCTGAAAAAACTCTGCAGTACTTTCTAGGCTCTTATATATCAGCAGCAACAGCAACAACAACGATCACTGTTTGACCAACACAACATTTTTATTCTCCATCAGAGTATGCAAGAACCCAACTACCACGTACCTCGACCATTTGCCAGGCACTTCGACGCTTCAGTGTGCAATCTGTTTCCAGATGTCGACAAGAAAAGTTTTAAAGTTCTTGACGTGGCGGCTGGAACAGGCCTGTTGGGGTTAGAATTAAACAAACTTGGATATAGCAATATTGATGCCCTTGACATATCGCAAGAAATGCTTAACAGAGCTATGATGAAAAATGTCTACAATAAACTTATCTGCGCCGCCATGACTGATCAGCGGATAAATGGTATCGAGACCGCGGAGTATGATGCATTGACGTGCAGCTCTGCGGTATGCACTTCGCATGTCCGGCCCAGTGCATTTGAGGAGATGGTAAAAATTGTCAAACCAGGTATGAGAGATATGGAGAATATTTCCCTTTCGTACAGTTTTCGCTTCTTTCCTGCGTTTGTTAATACAAGGTCGACTATTCCGTAACCTGGAAAGGTCAAGTGATCTTAAAAATGTTGAATTATCATTCTATTTAAACTTAAATTGTTCCCTTTGATTTCGTAATTGTCATATTTGATATTATCTTTTACGAATAAAGATTTAGAAGAATTCTAGTCAACAATCCTAGCCAAAACTCTCGCGATATTTAAAAATTATTCCACGCACGCGCGTTGGATATGTTGGATATGAGCTGGCTAAAACCAGTCTTGCATCAAACAAGTGCTAATGAAATAATTGTTTTATTGATTTTTACTAAATCCTCAACGTTTAGATATTTGCAGCCTTTTTCTTTTTAGCTCCGCAACAGTTGGCGCGATGCATTTCCGCATAAGGTGACTCAGAATATGAGGAGATAACCGATCAAAACGTTGAAAATTTAATAAAGGTATTTATTAACTTTCAACTTTGAACTCATGATGTGTTTTGCAGGAGGGGTTTTGTGCTTCAATATAAGTCTCGTGGAAGAGAAGAATTACGAAGAAAAACTAAATGAGTTGGAAAATAATAAAAAATGGCGACTCGTTCAGCAGGAGAAGATTCCTTTCGTACAGGTAGAACATTTAGAGGAGTGTTATTTGTACATTTACCAGCGTTAGTAAACTCTAAGGTTAAGCAGTCAACACTCAACACAGGAAATGCTCGGTTCTATAATTCTGAGTAAACGTTGTTACGGTATAATCTAACTGACAGAAAAAAAAATACAGTCTTACAAACTCAACTACTTTATTAAACAGCAAGTAATGTTCTTGACAAGGAGCGACTCCCAAAAGCAGTACAATACTTATCGTTAATAAACCCACCACAATCTATATCCCAGCTCACCACTGACACAATCTCACTGCTGTCTCCAAAGCTCCTTGAAATGAGCGACCTTCCGCAGAAACTCTCTATCGGTATAGCTTTCAAAACAGTCGTCGCTCCGACAACAACAACTACTTCTACTACTAAATTGGTGAGTCCTCATATATATGTATTCACAAAGTGTTCTGGAACATTCCAGAACTTTACATAACAATTTTAGTGGTATTACATAATAAATGCGTGACTTGATGAAATGTTCTGGAAAGTTCTATGGTATGCAAGTCAGCATGACTCGACAGTCTGGAGATTTCTAGAAGCTTATATTTACGACAATTACTCATAACAACGTCTTGCTACCCATTCTTCAGGGAAACTCGTTGTGCAAATCAAGGTTCGTAGTAAGAAATAGAGTAATGTCTTTACCCTTTAACTCCCAAGATCTCATTAGTAATTCACCTTACTGTTTGCCAGACGATTCTCATTATATCAGTTTAGAGAATTTGGTATTGGATCAATTAATAATCCTATAAATGATTTTTTACTTTATTCTCATCACTTTTCTCCTTGATTTTGTATTGATATTGTGAGGAGAAATTCTGTCTTGGTCACTTACGGGAGTTGAAAGATTAAAGATATTTTATACGTCATAAAAACGTTAAAAAAATGTGAAAATATACATAAACAAGACCTATAACCATAAAAGACCCATATTTGTTTCACTGGCAATGGGAAAAGATATTCAGGCTTTGTACAGGTATCTTGTACAAGTCTCTCCTACAATCAGTAAAAGTACTAGTCCTTAACTAACACGAGGAGCATCCATTGTTTGGCGGAAAAATATGTGGTAGTGGCTCTCAGCTTTTTAATCATACGACATGTGACTGCCACGTGGCTGCTACGCAAATTGTAGTTTTCCACCTATTCTCTTTCGAGGCAGTTTTCGATGATCTTGTTGAGGACATGTTTGTTGCAATGTTTTTGTTGTGATTTTTCTGAGAGATGTCGCTGGGACTGAAAGGGAGCTAGGTAATTGAAGTATATGTCAGGCAAGATTTATTGTTATCTAAGAATTGTCTTTACATTAAAAAAAAAGAGTGAATTGGCTTGGTGTCTGTCCTGTTCTGTTTCCAGCCCTAAGAAAAGCCGTAACTGTGTATCTGGTATGCTTGACTAGTGTTCCTTTTAAGGTCATTCTAAGAGTATTAGAGTCTATTTCCTGCACGATCACATTTAGTTTACACATACAGTCGACCCCCGTTATTGCGGACACTCTCGGGGGGAGATTTAGTGTCCGCCGGTAATAGCGCGAGTCCGTAAAAATGGCGGATACGAGAGAAAAAAAAATTAAAGTTTCTAACGTGGCCTCACGAACCGGAAAATATCCGACCGCTAGCAGGGAATTCTCATATTTACACCCAATTAAAGAACGGTTTCTTTATTTTCCTTTATCGCCATCAGTACTGTCGGTCTAAATTATGTGAGTCCAGGAGTTTGGACGAAGTGTCTGATTGGTCGGCTGCTAAAAATGTGTCATAAGTCGTGCGCACGTCAACATCTGTGATTGGTTGCTGTTCGTAATCCATTTCCAAGCAATTTTGTAGAATTTACCGTAAAACACGTTAGTCGTCGAAGTGTAAGGAAGTGTATGATGAGGTTCTGAAGACGAGAGCTGGAATGATGATGTACGAAAAAACGTCCTCGATAGGGAAGGAAGTGTGTACTCTTCTTCAGGAAAGGTAAATATTGTACTTTTGTCGGAAAATACGAGAGTTTAGCTGCATAGACTTATCTCAAGCTTTTTTCCGTTAATTGAAAGTGAAATTTCGGAACAAACGAGTCGGCAAGTAGCAACAGAACAACCAAGACTCGACTTAGAGCCGAGACAACGAAAGGAATTATTTCGTAACATAACTGCAACACTTTAATACAACTCACGAGATTAAATTTTGAATTAATATGGTTCGTAAAAGCCCGTGTTCAGTTTGTTTCTTGACATTAAAACCTTTCCGACCAGGTAGAAAAGACTTGTTCGTGGTTTGTCTTGTTTCGATGGGCTGGTCTCTTCTTGTTAATAAGTTTCTACCAAACTTTTTAAAGACAAACTCGAAAAACAAACTTCATAAGACCGATTACTGCTTTGATCATTTTCTTGTTTTTGTTTTATTTTGCTTGATTGTTTTTTATTCAAAGGAGGATTTTCTGGTAGCCTTGACTTTGTGTAGTCGACCTATTTTCCGGGCTCTTTTTCAAACATACGGAACGTGGGCTGTCAAAAAATCAGTCAAGATAACTTGATCATTTTCGGTGTTCTCTCAACGGCGTCCTTAGATTCTTTAAAAAGCCATAGGCAAATAATGTAAACCATCAACATTTCACACAGCTTTCAAGAGTTAATCTAAATTGCATTGACTATTGTTTAAATAACTTAATAAAGTTGCAATACTATTACTGATTCAGTTAATGCGCGTATTACGAGACTTAATTTAATATTTCTTGAGTAAGTAAATTCCTTATCTTCTGTCAAACAACAGGCAATTCTCATTTGACATTATTTTTTTGTTGTTGTATTAGACAGCTTTGCTGTGGAAAAAAGTTTTCTCTTTTCTTGGAAATTGTGATAAACAAATGGGACTCCCGCTGTGCGGTCGTCTGATTTTGTTATCACTCGTATGATTACAGACCCAATTGGACTCCACTCAGTCCTATTACCATTACTTATTTCGAGAAATTCTAAATAAATTACAGCGATCGTCAAATCCTTAACCGCCGTTCGGTCTACTCGCCTGTTGTTCGTTTAAGTGTTCTTTTCTAAACAGGATTTCTACGCGTCGTCATTGAGTGACCTTAAAAAAAGTAAGCTTGTATAAAAGGCAAGTAGTCTTCTACATCAGTCGGTTTGTAGTTATAAATCAAAGAAGCCCTCTCTTCCTCTGCACTGGAGAATCGATGAGTGCTGGAGCGCGCTGCCGACAACAGAGAGGAATTACTATCATTACAATTCTGACTGTTGTTATAATTAACCTTTTCCCTCCCTAGATTTCATTATTAGTAATTTGTCTTGCTGTCTGCCATACGATTCTTATGATGCTAGTTTAGGGAATTTGGTAGTGGATCAACTAATCATCCTCTAATTGATATTTTCTTTATTCTCATCACTTGTCTGCTTGATATTGCATTGGTAGTGTAAGGAGAAATTCTGTCCTGGTCACCAAAGGGAGTTAAAGGGTTAATGAATAAAGTATCTTCTTCCATGATACTACAAGCTCAGAATAGAACATGTCTAGATCGCAACACTCTCATAAGTTCACTGCTGTTACCAGGATCACTTAAACAAAATTAACCGATCACACTACAGGAAATAAACAATGATTCCAATTCAATTCAATTTTAGGCAAAACAAGCAAAATATTGCAAAAAGTTTAAATGTTGTTCATCGTCGGTTGTGACATGTTGTGTAATATGTCATTTTTGATAGAAGAGATCTTGGCCTGAGTTTCTGTTTTTTTTTCTAGTTTCCTGTTCTGCATTTTGATCCACTCGTTTTGAATAAATCAATTACTGAGACTTTTTTTCGGTCAATGGATCATTATAACAATAGTACCATTGAAATATCATTATAAAAATTATCAGCCATCGGTTATGGCTATTTTTTGTTAAGGAAGAGAAACTAAATCTATTTTCAAGCTCACCTTTTTGAATTAGGAAATTTGCGAAATACTGGCCTGACACAACATCTGCCAGCGAGTGATTAATATCCATATCTCTGCGCCATTCAAACTGGGATTTAGCCGGGTGCCAGTGTAAAAGGTAGACTGGATAACGCTTACCTGTAAATAATGCAATTAGACTCTTGCCATCACTCCTGAGCGAGCTCTTTAAGAGAGCAGTCGACCTCTCTTTCGTGAAGATTTACCAAAAGCATATGATAAAGGAATTCTTCCTTTTATTTTTCTATTTGCACAAAACATTACAAGTAAGAAATTTACAACTGATAATTTTTTTTGAAGAATTGTAACCAGAAAAGAATTAACTAATGTAGCGAGAAAGTCTGACGAAGCTTATGATATTTGGGTTTGTTTTTTAAGATTCCTTAAACGTTTTGTTCTTACCTTCCATAGTTGAAATAAATTCAACCCCGTTGCGATCTTTGCTGGTTGAAACGATTCTGAAAAAAGCATTTAGACGTCTGTACTTGATATAATTCTGGCGCAAAAGAACAGAGTAGTATGGGTCAATGTATAATCTGAAACAAGTGAGGGCGTAAAGACTTAATAACCCTTTACACCTTATCATTAGTATGCATATTCTCCTCACTGTTCGCTATACATTTCCTCAGGTGCTGTCGAGGATAATTTGTTTTACAATCAACAGCTTCTTAGGTTGGTGATCATTTCCTTTATTCTCGTGACCTTAATGTTTGATTCAGGGGTTATACTGTAAGGAGAAATCAGATGCTGGTCACTCTTCGGGAGTTACATTTAAGGTTGAATAACAAGGCTAAGGTTAACTCTCTCCCTGTTTAGTGGGTGTTGTTCTTTAGCGTGGAGGTCCTGTAATGGATGCTAAAACGTCTTTATACTCTTCTTCTTTCTTTTTGTTCTTGTTTTCGCATCTACAAAATCACCAACACCAAAAAAACTTGTACGAAAGATTTCTAAATTAACAAAACGAGAAATGTTTAGGTTCAGGGACCGGTTGTTATTTATCATTGGGGGGAGCGGGGGGGGAGGAGCGGGGGGAAGAGGAGGGGGGGGGAGGAGAGGGGGGAGGAGCAGGGGGAAGGAGCGGAGGGGAGGGGGGGGAACGGGGGGGGGGGGGAGGGGGGGAACGGAGGATTTTGGTTGTGTCACGATGAAATTTACCTTATTAATGGGCAGTCAATTTTCTATAATTTCCCATAGTGCTACGTTCAATTAGCGACGACTGATCCCCGTTCCAGACCCCTGAAAACCATGTGATCCATCCCAAAATCCTCTGCCTCCCTACCCATGCAAAAAATAAAATGACTGGTCCCTTAAAACTATAAATGAATAACAATGATAGCAATAATAATTCAGATTCCTCTGTTAAGAGTAAAGGTAATAAATTTCATCTAACCTGTGGTGTGATGGCCATCTTGTGATTGTTGAATGCTGCATTGTTATTCTGTAAGAATTTCACAACTTGTCTTGGAGCAAATTTCCACAGAGAAGTTGTTTTATAATCTTTAGGACAAAAATTGGTTGTATCAGTAGAGGGTCACTCCAAGATGTGTCTATTTCACAGCTTAAACCGAACTGTGATAGAGGGTGATGGCCTTTATGGCTAATGATTAGGATCGGGCCAATGTCCAGTGCTCAGTCATCCATCAGAAAGCGAGCTAAGTAAGGTACTACGAGTTCGTTTGATTACAAAAACATTAAACTTACAGGAAGAGTTTCGAAATACCCCGAGGGTTACTCTACAAACTAAAAGTTTTGGAATGTCTTTGTAATTCTTTTCTAAAGATGTTATTGGGTCACTTGAATCCACCTTACAGGTAAGCGTAATCCACCAAAACTAAACAAAAACAGGGGCGGTACCGCTATAATAGAGTTGAAATACTGATTGGCTACATTATTGTTAGCATAAATAATAAAACAGATGCATCACCAACCTTTTGGAAGAATTAATTTCAGGCTTACATTTTTTGCATCGGTGTCGCTGAAAAGATCCTGGTCGAATTGCCCCACTTGTAAATCACACCCAGAAATCAGCATTGAAAGCAACTCTAAGCCCAGACATTCTCCCCAGATCGGAAAGATGTCGCCTTTATCATAAGCCTGCAGTGGGGAAAGAAATTTGTGTGTGACGATATTGCAATGACACTTTTTCTCAAACCACAGCGGAAATTAAATTTTCTGCGAGGGTTTGTATGTCTGTCTCTGTTCTGTGGTACTTTGTAATAAAATTGTTGCACTTTATAAAAACATTTGTTATACTTTGTAATAAAAAAAACTGCCGCCTTTTGTGAGAGGGTCTCAGTTGGGTTAACCATTAGCCATAAAACGGTCATAAAATTTAAACGGTAGGCGTAAAAATTGATAAATTTTAACCGTTAGTCGTAAGAAAAGTTAACCGTAAAATTTTTCCCTCTCTTAGAATGTGTCATTTTGTGTCATTTTGGGATAACCGTAAGTCGTAAAAATGCCAAAATTTGAACCATTATTTCAAAACCCATCACCCTGTTGGAAACCTTTTGTAATTAACTTGGTATAGATGTTCGGAGAGTGAGTGGACCCAAAAATAACCATCATCCCTGTCAGTAACGACAAAAATAATGATAATAATAATAATAATAATAATAATAATAATGATGATAAAAGTAATTAGATGATGTATTTGAAGCAATTGTGCATCATTTGGTTCTTTAACCAATAATAAAATGATTTTGTGAAAAATTTCAGATCATGATCATAGTTTTAGATTATGTATTTTAATCATAAGATAACAATAATAATAATGATAGTAATAATGATAATAATAATAATTATATAATATTCCAATAAAAGTGCCTAAACAAAAATCTGGCATAGGTGAACATTCTTGGTGGTTCAGGGACACAATTTAGTTTTTTATTTGACAGTTATTTGCGTTTTCGCAAAGTAGCATTTTTTTCATTCCATTCAGCTTGGTGATGAGGAGTGGCTGCATTTCACTGACATATCTTTAAGGCTTCTTCCTTCCAAAAACTATTGCTTGATAAATATGATAAATAACTAATCACTCTCACTGAAGGAGATTAGGGTACCTAAACTGATCTACAAGTGACATACTTCAGCGCGAGATAACTTACTGAAAGCAATTGTGGAAGTTTATTGAATAAGGGAGTAAGTTTCTTAAGAAACTTTGGTGCTGCGTCAGTGGGAGAGTATAACAGGGTAATTTAGCATTATCAACTGCGTAAAGAGTTTAAAAGGTTTTAAACTCTTTACGGTGGCCAATTTACGTTATCAACTCAGTTGATGATACTAAATTACCGTGGAAGTTAATTCATTTGGTTTTGAAATTTTACCTTCATTGCCAGCTCTAATATCTGTTTCCCTACTCGTGTGTAGTTTGAGCGTTCTAAGAAGCTATGACCTCCGGGATATATGGCACTAAAATACGTAAACGTCATAAAAAAGGGAAAAGAAAGCAAAACTAAAATACGTTGATAATCAAGAAAATTGAAATATATGATGAGAGGTGGTCCGGTGGCAAGGGGGGGAGGGGGAAGGGGGTGCGGATGGGGCACTACAGTTTTATAGCGAGGGTTTTTCAAAGGGGGGTATCCCAGGTATGAATTTCCACGTGCCTCACATGAAATGACTTTTATCGCGGGTGCATATTGTGCTTCTTTTAATTTCACCTACGCCCCTGAAACAAGCGAGAGCGAACATTGCGACAAATGATAGTCTTAATCAACCTTTACACCATACCACGTTTCCGGTTTTTTCTAGTATAACTGTAAAGAATACCTTAAAAGTAGAGTTTTGCCGGTTCCATCTTTTGAGGTCGGCTTTGCCCATCGTTCTACTTACCCATTAATTGAATAAAACAACTTTTCAATTTCTTCGGCAGTGGAGTTAATGCTGCAGAATGTTGATTTGAGGGTTAAGAATCACACATTTACAGCAAATCGCTGGGAATTTTATACAGAATTTTTATAAATTTAATGCAATCATATATAATGTTTTATCTATCTGAGTGGAGCTCACATCCATCTGTATATTTTCGTATTCATGTTTAGTACCATAGCGTATGGACGTTTTTCTAAATAAAATAATGATGAAAACAATTACAGTACTAAACATGAGTAGGAAAATACACATTAGAGAATAAATCTTACAATTGAACACTCAAGAAAAAAAATATTTACCTTAACTGTGCATAGCTTTACAGGTGAAAAACGAAAACGACGACGCTGCTTCCTCAAAAGTGGATGTGAACATTGATCCACGGGGCTAAATTTATGCAAAAAACCTGCCAAATTACTCGACATAATTACGTAACATTACACAATGGTACAAACATTAACCACAAGAGTACCATACAAATGATGAATCGTAAAAACACTGACAGGCTATGAACACGTAAACACAATACACACGGGAAACGGTATGACAATAAGTTTCGCCATTACGTGGCGGCCTCCAAGGCACTTGGCCAAACAGGCCTGCCTTTCTTAAGAAATCTAAGGGAAGCTTATGAAAACGTCCTTGAATAACTATTATATCTGAAATAATCCTAAAAAAACACAGTTCGGAGCTTATCGTATAAAGAGTCTGTCAGGAGAATTCATCGTATTGCTTTCAGCAGCTCAGTTCCTTCCTTTGTGTTCGGTTGGATCTCTGGATTCCATGCGTGACCTCGGTTACAATCAGGTTACCCTGATAATTAGCCGGTACCCATGTATACTCCCGGGTGGAGAGAGGCACTGGGATAGTAAAGTGAAAACAATACAGTGAACCAGCCAGGCCTCGAACCCAGAGCGTAGTGCGTTATCTGTTAGGTCGCCGTGGGTCCCATCAGAAAGGCGTAAATATTCATAGATCTAGAATTGCCTTTTCTTCATCCTACCTTGCAATACTTGTTTTATATTTCAATTTATTTAACATCTTTAAGAGGATTAACCGATACATGACTACAAAAGGGTCAGATTTACAAAGGATACAAAATAGGCATCATTCTCCCTCCTGCAGACTCGATAAACTTGACGTACGTGGCTGCAATTAATTGACTTCCGAATTTCGTCACATTTCCATCCGTATCTTGAGCGAGCACACCTTCAAAGAGGCAGAAAAAGGAAACAATAATAATTAAACGAACTCTCATTGTCCTTTTGACAATCTGCACTCGTGACGTAATCGATCGTTATGTTCGAGCTTATATTTACCTTTATAAGACAGTGCTCGCTGTTTATTTCTATTTTTCCTAAGAAAACATCGCGCAAAATATTGATAAGAGTGTCTTTCAGAGGCATTTTATTCATTAATTCATAAGGCCAAATTGCAGTTCTTACTTCTGTTTTTAAAAGTCTTGGCAAGACAGCGAAACTACAGTAATAATGATAGACCGTTTCATATGACGACAACACTTTTATTGGCATACTATCATTTTTTAAAAAGTTTCCTTACTCACTTACCAATAATTGGACAACAGTTGACAGCCCTGCCGTTATCTCTGTGATTTAAGGTCGGAAATAAGTTAGAAGGTAGTATAGGAGCAGGAAATGAATATAAAAAAAAATACAGAAATGCTCGAAAACGTTAAAAGACGAAGGAGAAATTTGCGTTAAATCAAGAAAAACAAGAATTTTAAACACTGTACCTGCTTTTTCCTTTTCCGTGGTTAGAGAACGCTTTGAATGTTTCGAATTCGATGGCTAAAGAAATCTGCGCCACAATAAGCAAAAATGCAATTTTCGTTATTTTCTCTTCTTTCATATTTCTTCTTTTTGGTTGTCTTAAATGAAAATCCTAATTCGCCCTCGAGCTGATAATTATATATACATTAGCGTTAACTGTAAGAGCTTATCGACACCAGGCCAAGTTATTCACCTATCAAAAAGGAATCTATGAGGACGTCGCCTTTTCATGGCCAATCCACGTAGCGAGTACACCTGTCTCGCGGGTGTTCTGACCCTGAGTATCACGAGAATGTAATTTTTAAGAAGTTAATTAGGATTTTACAACAGGGTAGCTTACTGATAACTAAAACACAAGATCCGGTCTTGAAAAATTAAAAGACCCGCAGGTTGTTTCTCAAGATAATATGAGGGACCGACCACGAATTTTTACTTTTGCGGCTGTTTCTTTTTGCTGAAAATTATTTCTTCCACAAACAAAACAGAATTGTTTAGAATAACTATATAAGAAAACAATTGAAATTTTTTTGGCAGTTGGCAAGATTTTCGTCCGTCACAGAGAAGAATAGGATTAATACTACATTGTGGGTAACAACCACAACTGTGGGTACATTTTATTGAATTTTCGGTGACTTCAACTAGGATTGTCCATTTTTTACCGAGAGGAAGATTTTTACTTTGCTAGATTTGGTGTCATCTGCTGAAATTTCTCCTCTCTTCGCGATCGTTATGGCAAAGTCCCAACTGAACGCAAAGTATTCGACATGCTCTTGGCTGGTAAACCCTTGCTATCAAGTAATGGTAGTGGTGATGTTTCTGTCACGAAAGATAAAATGGGCTTGTGAACACTAATGGATATCACTTAATGATGATGTTTGCCCGGCTGAAATAGGACGTAATCTCGCTACCCTCTTTGTTGCTCTTTCAAAGTCTCAGTTACATGTTTAGGCGTTCAAATTTCGTTCTTTCGAACTTATATTAAGCAGTCGGTGTTCAAATTCTCAAGATTCTTGCCCTCTAATTACTATAATTTTCACTTCCATTAAGCAGTCATGGTCATCCTTGACTGAATCCCAATGGCCTGTTTGTATTGTTCTCCACCTGTATTGAACGGTCATTAAAGCGGAACTACTCGAATAAAACTAGGAATAATCTTTCGAGTGAAATTCAATCCTCGTTCATCTCCCGAAATCAATGTAAGTAGTGTTTTGAGCAAGTTCTGAGCATTAAGTGGTCAATTATGGCATGATACCTTTATTCTGTGGAACGGTCGAACTGTATCGGTCACCTCGCTGTTCCCCATGGGCGCACGTGACCGCTTTTACAGTTTAACCTGTCTTGAAATACAAGTTTGACTGGATAACTCGCTAAAAGGGTTCTTTTCAACATAGTAAGCGGTCAGATAACGAGCAATGTACTATGAGAGTAAGGTGAGGTATTTTTATTGAGAACTTTACTGTTTTTTTTTTTTATTCCTGAGAGCGATCGTAAATATTCCAATACAAACTCTAATAATTTCGCCATGACTCGTATTTCGCAAGATGGTCTTCTCACAGCTGGAGCTTAGGCCTCCTCTGGATCTACCGGCCATCGTGCCAAATAGTCAAAGCCTTGACTTGTCTCGTTGCCACTTAACGATAGCCACAACTAGCTGTAGATCTTTAATAATGCAAAAACTAAGCTACACGTTTACTTGACCATGAGATCAGAGGATGTAGAAACTGGATCATTTCATGATCCAGTTGCTCTCCGAGTAGTCCGGTAAATGTATAAAATCGAGCGGAAAACCTCGACTGGCCTTGACTGGGAAATATGGAAAAACAGGCGATAATTTTTCCCAACTACCTATAGAAAGTAAATCTTCCTTTTTTTTTTTCGTTTGAGAGGTGACCGTGTTCCCTTTCGACTGTTTTTGCGAATCTTTCGGTTCTTAACCTTCTAACACTAAACAAGTAGACTGGCACAATTGGCCATGTGTATTTCACCATGGTATGAAGTATAATACAAATGGCACCGAAGAATACATGTCATTTCAGTTTCACCGTAAAACTGTGATGGCAAAGCCCCACTCCCTCACATTCCCTTTAGAGAGAGGGCGATTTTCCGCAATCTGAGAGAGAAAGTCCCTCGGCTGCTTCAGCCGGTTTTTGGAGTTGCTCCTATGGCCGCTCCGCGCGTATTCAAATTGGGAGACCTGGTGTTTGAATTCCGCGCGCGCGAAATCTCGTTAGCTGTCCTTACCTATGTAGCATAGCATTATGTGAATCGTATCATGTTAGTAAGGACTGAGAAGGCTTTCCATGACGACCAACATATGTTTAATCACTTTGAGGAGGACAGTACTTTCAGAAACCTAGAGGGGGCTTTGTAAGCCCCTACGGTCATTCTAGCCAGTACACTAACTTTACTTGTTTACAGCTTTTGTAAATACGTTACAACTAGATCAGCTATTGAAGAAAAATACGATGACACCCCATGGGGCGAAAGAGATAACTCTTGCAGCCTACCTCATTCAAATTGTCCTCATCATATCTTTAGATTTTCAAGTACTATCATGCATGATCAACTCCGGCTATTTACAAATGAATCTTCACTCAACGAAGTCATCCGACTTTACGATAAATGGGCAGAACAATATGATTAGGAAACATGTGGCGATTATGATCAGACAGGGAACTGGTAGTGCCGTGGCCCCCAAAATATTTTTCACTCCTTGCCTACAAAAAAATTTTCAAATTTTTCACTACTTCGCCTATTGCTGTTCGTATGTTAAGCCAAGCCAATAGTCACTAGCCCCTGTATAGCCGCTAACTATGGCTTATAAATAAAGGTGTTTACTTTAAACTTGTAAAACTCCCTGAAGAAGTCTATGACAGTTAGACGAAACGCGTCGAAGAATAAAGAGGTTTTACAACTACTGTTCGCTGAGTGCCGCTCACTAGCTCAGTTAAAAAAAAATTTCGAACGATTCCATCGCTAAAATGCGACACATTGGAACGCTACACGTGTTTCGTCATTTTATATTCATCGAAATTGTTGTCTGATTCAAATGAGAAATGTGACTGAAATAAACACCATTTTGATTTAATGCGTTAACGGAATAGCTTTACACATTCTTGTAATCTGTTTTAGTACACTGAACAAACATCATTGAATAATATTCCGTGAGAGCAGGTTTAATGGTCACGGACACCAAACGACAGAAGAAAGGGTAAAATAACCACACTCAGTACCGGCCCTCCTTTCCGGGTGGCAAAAATCATTTGGATACAAATGATTTTTTAAGAAATTAATATTCATGTTTGCGACCAGTCTTGCACGTGGTAAAAGCTTGCGAACTACAAGAAATTTCAGCGTCTTTTGCAACTATTTTGGGGCAAGAAACAAGTCGGTTCAACGTTAGTACCTTGAATTCCGTCAGTTAATTCAAGGCAGACTTGCGTTTCTTTGAAGTTGGCGAAGCAAGGCAGTGGTTTAAATTCGACCTTGTGGATTTATGGATGTCATTTTATCACGAAACTCCTCGCGGTAAGTTACCAACGAATAAATTCCTTAATGTAAAGAAACACAGTTTAAGTGCTTTTGAAATTTAACAACGGAGTCAAATGTTAAAGGAAGAATATTTTGTACACTTTTAAGAGTGAGACACATCCTCACTAGTGGCCGCCATGACAGCTTTTATTGAATCACGTGACTTATAAGGAAAAATCGAAAACTTCGCAGTTTATAGTCGAGGTATCGTCCGTTCGTTTTATTTACTGGTATATCTATTTTTATCAGTGTGCTTCTTTTAATACTGTATGCAGTTAAACCTATCAACCCCTGAGAGTGATAAGCCCCTAATTTCTCCCTTACACAGTTGTCCCCGAATCACACATTTAGGTCACAAGAATATAGGAATTGATCACCAACTAAAGAAGCTCTTAATTGTTCAACAAATTCTCCTTTTCAGCGTCTTCGAAAATGTATAGAGTAATAGTATGGAGAGTTTGCATACTGATGTTAGGGTGCAAGGGGTTAATATATATGCTGATGGTGTTTTAACATTAACTTGCTGTAGTTTAATTGTGCTTTTTTTATTTCGCCCGCCTCTTTTATAGAAGCTAAAGCCATTTTTCTCGAGTGGACATTGGGGGCCTTATTCCCATTTCCAGACAGGATTGTATAGCTTCTTGTTGTCTCCCAATCCTGGGCGTGTGGCAATAATCATTGTAATTTTATGCCATAGCAGCTAAACATGTCCATCTCTTACAAAGGGATGACCTCTATCTCGCGTATCTTTATTCCACCTGTCTTAACCCTTTAACCTCTACGAGTGACTAGCATCTAATTTCTCCTTACAATATCACCCCTGAATCATGCAATAAGATCATGAGAATACAGGAAATGGTCACTTACTAGAGAAGCTCAAACAAATTCTCTTAATCAGCTCCTTAGGGATTGTATAGGGAACAGTATGGAGAATATGCACACTGATATTAGGGTGGAAAGGGTTGAGGATGTATGAGGATGGATCACAGTATCAGACCCGCACCTTATCTGACAGTATTTCGAAGAACGCTATCTATCTTCCTTCATTAATCCCTTTACACCCTAACATCAGTTTGCATATTCTCTATACTGTATTCTATTCATTTCCCAAGGTGTTGACAAGGAGAATTTGTTAAACAATCAAGAGCTTCTCAGGCTGTTGATCGTTTTCCTTATTCTCATGACTTTAATGTGTAATTCAGGGGTGATCTTGTAAGGAGAAATTAGATGCTGGTCACTCTTAGGGGTTAAAAGGTTAAACAAGACTATCACTGTTAGAAATGAGGGATTCAACCTAGTTTTTCCTTTTTCTTTCGATTACAAATAGTTCTCAACCCAAAAAACAGGCTCTATGCATGTAATTTTTGCAAATTCCTCATTTTTCTTCTTTGTAGGACAGTAGGAAGCGCAGGATGAAAATAAGCAGTTAAATTGAAGGAAAGAAAAAGGTTAACATCTAAAAAGGTTGGTTTTGCAATATTTGTTACAATGTCACTTATCAGAGGAAGACAGCACAACAGAATAACTTCCAACAAGGTTAGAAATTTAGTTCATTCTTAAATTTTTTTTTTTTTGATTTTTTTTTTAAAGTTGTATTAATCAGAGTGAGCCCGGCAATCCCTGTTCTGTGTTATAAAGGATTTATGAACTCATTCGAATTGAAAAAAATAACATATTTTGTTTCCCTCATTCACAGTTAACGATCTGCCAATTACGTTGGGTTGGTCTGCATTAAACGATTACACCTTGATTAAACGAACGTCTGCAACTTTCAAATGTAAGACAGCAGAAGAAAACCTACAAACGAAGAAAAACAGTCATATTTCTTTTATTTTTGTTTCCTTAGATATCTCTATCACGTTTTAATTGGTTTTCAGTGGTCGTGAGACTAAGGTTGTTTTTAATAAATCAGACTACAATTTTGTCTCTTTGATATTAAAACACTGGTGTCAAAGAAATACCCAGCGCTTTGGTGCATGTTATGATCATTCATCTTATGGTTGAAATTACTATAGCAACGGCTTAGCTGGTCGAATGCTCGTTAATTTCAAGAATATGTTGATAGTCAGAATAAGCTCGGTTATCCCCTTTGACATAGATTGCCTCGGTGAATATGCAACACGAGAAAAGCTGAGAGAGCTAAGACTGATAATAGTCTTGTGTCCTACGAACAAACGAAATCCCAAGAATGTATTCCGACTCAAATTGTTGGCAGAATTTCTTCGTATATCTGCGATAAGCTTAAAGTTCCACTAAGTATTTCATTTTTTTTAATTGAAAAAAAGAAACCTCTTAATTTAGCTTTAATCAGCCAGACAATTGGAACCCGAATGTGAAAAGTTTTGATCTCCGGGGCTAACACCAAACTCACCTTGAAAATTCTCGAATTATTTAAATCATTTGTAATTCTTTATCTATTGTTTTGTTCTTTTTTTAGGCTCCTATAAATTTAATGCGCCTGTTATTTTTAAGCAATGGTGTTTTTACTCGATTCAATGATAATATTGTCACCTCTTTTTGGCTGAAGCCAAATTCAATATCAACTTTTTTGAGGATCCTTTCTAGATCTCTTTTTCTTTGAATAAGACCAGTTTGCTTAATTCAGTGAAAATATTGGAACCTTGTCGTGTAGTGTTGAGACTCTGGAGGCTGAAACTGAATACTAGAGGCTGAAACCGAATAAAATGAACTTGTATTGCCGTAAATAAATATAGCTAAATTGTTTCAAGAATTCATTTTCAAAGCACGGAAAGGTATTTACTATTGAACGAGATTTGACCCTTTCTACTTTTTCAGCATAGCTCGGAACTTTTTTTAAAAAATGCATCCTCACTCATAATTTCAATTTCCAGGTGCCCGATTTTTTTATCACCTCACCTAGAAATGATACGACTCTAAACCAGGCTGACTCTAAACAAAGCTGGTTTTAAATGACAACAAAAATTTATCGGAAAATTAATTGGATAATTTTCGAACGAGGGAGAGTAAATCAAAGGAACAGATGACATGATTTCATTTTAAAAGATCATTTGTATTCAAATTATTTTCCCACTCTGAAGGGCGGGCCTACACTGAATGTGGTTGCGTCACCCTTCCTTCCTTTTGTCATTTGGTGTCCATGACCATTAAACCTGCTTTCGCGGAATGATATTCGATGATATTTGTACAGTCTACTAAAAAAAATTACAAGAATGTGTAAAGCTATTCCGATAACGCATTAAGTCAAAAATGGCGTTTATTTCAGTCACATTTCTCAGTCGAATTAGACACAATTTTTATGAATGTAAAGTAGTGAAACATGTGCAGCGTTCCAATTTGTCGCGTTTTAGAGATGGAATCGTTATTGACGAGCTTAAGATGCGTAAAACAAAGATGTGGTAGATTATCGAGTTGTACCATACGTGAATTTTTTTACTGTAATCTTCGATTAAACTCTGTATGTTTTTGATTGGGAGCAATTAGGTGATGAGTAATAAGCTATCGATAGAAATATTGAAAAAAAAATTAATCAAGTAGGAGTTAGAATTAAGATTTCCAGGCTAGAAAAACACCAACAAGGTGGAAATAAAGCAATAAGAACAAGGATCGCTAAATATGGCGAGAAATGACATTGATTGCAAATTATGGTAAAACTCAGGCCTCCATTTAAGCTAAATACCCTACTGATACCTTATTAATTCCCTTGCTACGCAGGGTATCAATAGAGAACTTATTTACTGGCGTTTATAAATGTATAAATAGCACTCCTCTAATTGTTTCTCTAGTAGAAAAGGAATCTTTCCCTTGTTTAAAAGCCTCCATCGTCCAGCTTCTTCCAGCTCTTTAAACTTTTGTATGTAATTCCTCTCTTCCAAGAAGCTTATATTGAAGCACAATAAGCCACCTGCAAAACGTTACAAAAAGTTATTTCGCCGAAAACAGCTGGGTATTAGAGATGTCGTTTTCTTGCAACTCCATTGTTGCCGTGTTGATTGGTTCGACTGGACCAAGGGGCGTGGCTAAGGGGAGTTAGGAAGCCTCTTTCCCTCATCTTTTCTAAAGACAATAGTCAAACGAACGTCCTAATTCGAAAACGCGCGCACCCGAAAAATCTACACGACATGGAAAAGATTGCCTTTGATAAACCACAGCGTGGGTGTTGATTAAACAGTAGGGTAGGCAAGATAATTTTTTTTAATCAATTGAGTTGATAATATAAATCGGACACCGTTAAGAGTTTCTAAGTTGACATTACGAGCGTTGGCCCTTCGTCAGAGCGAAAAGGAAGGGCCAACGCTCGGAACGCCACCTTAGAAACTCTTTTACGGTGTCCAATTTATATGGTTTACTCAGTTGATAAACGAACTTATCTTGTTATAATCCACCACCGACGCAGCACCACAGTTTCTTTAGATAAAAATCCTCGCCACACACTGGGATCACATCACCTATTTAAGATGTAGAGAAGCTACAAAGAACGAGCGGAGGAATGGGGAGGAATCTTTATCCTTCCTTACCAGGCTTCACCATCATTAGCATCTCGCTAAAAGCACTAGGTTGAACTTGCCCAGCACATACTGCAGAGCTGCATGTCAATGCATCATACTCCGCGGTCTCGATACCGTTTATCTGCTGATCATTTACGGCAGTGCAGATGAGTTTGGTGTAAACTTTCTTGTTTTTAGCTCTGTTTAGCATTTCTTGTGACATGTCAAGGGCGTCAATATAAGTATATCCAAGTTTGTTTAATTCTAAACCCAACAGTCCTGTTCCAGCCGCCACGTCAAGAACTTTAAAACTTTTCTTGTCGACATCTGGAAACAGATTGCACACTGTAGCGTCGAAGTGCCTGGCAAACGGCCGAGGTACATTGTATTCGGGTTCCTGCATGATCTGAATGAAATAAAACAAAAAAAGTAATGTGACGCTAGCGACAGGTTTTTTTTTATTGTACCACCAGTTCCCTGTCTAATGATCAACGCTCCGTGTTACCTGATCATATTGTTCTGCCCATTCGTCGAACAGTCGGATGACTTCGTTGAGCGAAGATTCATTTGTAAATAGCCAGAGTTGATCATGATAGTACTTGAAAATCTAAAGATAAGATGATAACAATTTTAATGAGGTAGGCTGCGAGGGTCATCTCTTTTCGCCCTATGGGGTCTCACTATATTCGTAACGTATTCTACAACTGTAGTTGTAATGTATTTACAAAACTGTAAACTAGTAAAATTAGTGTACAGACTAGAATGACCACAGGGGCTTACAAAGCTCTCTCTTGGTTTCTGACCTCCTCAATGTAAACAGATGTTGGTCGTCATTAAAAGCCTTCTCAGTCCTTACTAACATGATACGATTCTAATCATGCCATGTTACACAGGTGAGGGTAACTGGCGGGATTTTGCGCGCTGAATTCAAACGGCAAGTCCCCCAATTTGAATACGAGCGGAGCAGCTGCGGAGAAGTAGCAAGAACTGGGTGACTCAGTGAAGTGACCGAGGGACTTTCTTTCTTAGATTGCGGAAAATCGCCCTATCTCTTAAGGAAATGTCAGGGAGTGGGGCTTTGCCATTATAGCTTTACGGTGAAACTGAAATGCCATGTATTCTTCTGTTCCACTCGTATTATACTCTATGGTGAAATACACATGGACAATTGTACCACTCCACTTGTTTAATTTTGGAATGTTAAGAACCCAGAGATTCACAGAAAACAGTCCAAAAGGAACACAGTCACCTCTCAAACGGGAAAAAAAAAAAGATTTACTTCCTATAGGCAGTTGGGGAAAAAGAAAAAAACTCCCACAAGTGATCAAGACAGAATTTCTCCTTTCAATATCAATACAATATCAAGCAGAAAAGTGACGAGAAGAAAGTTAAACAACAATTTGGGGATTAAAAGTTGATCCAACACCAAATTCTCAGAACTAACATTATAAGAATTGTATGACAGATAGTAAAGAGAATTACTTATGAAAATTTGAAAGTGAAAGGTTTAACAAGAGACATAAAACTGAATATTCTCATTTGAGTGGTTGTCATCACCAACAATGCAAGATTCTAAATTAACCCTTTAACTCCCAGAAGTGATTAACATGAAAATTCTCCCTATAATATCCATACATTATTCAGCAAACAGGAAATGAGAATATACAAACTTTTCAGGTTAAAGCTGCTATTTTGATCAAGCACCAAGTTCTCATGACTAATTTACAAGGAAATGTGTAGGGGCGAGATTTAACAATCAGATCTTGGAAAGAGTATCAGGTTTAGAAATGTGTTAGTGTCAACGGCTAAGTGATTTTATGATCTGCCAATGAGAGGAAAAGGTATTCTTGAGGAATTCGGTGAATATCATTCCTGACTACCGGGCAGTTAGGGACCGGTTGGTTACGTCGAGATAAAATTAACCAATTCACCCCTCTCCCCCACCCCCTCCCCCACCTTATAGGCTCTGTAGTGGGCTAATGATCCTCCTCATGGGCAGTCAGTTTCCCTTAGTCCCCCCTTTTAGACTTTATAGGCAATCATGTGACTCCCCCAACCCCCCAAAAAATCCCTAACTCCACCCCTCCTCCTCGAAGGGGACGAATAGTGACTGGTCCCTCAGTTTATTTGAGACCGTGCCCCACTGCGAAAAACATCAAATAGACTTGTCACGCATTCCAAGGTAGACCATTCACCGCGCTATTGGATTTGATACTGGATCATTTCATCGACGTAAGACTATTCCATATCAGAATATATGTACTCATAACACCAAATCACCCCTCTAATCCGTCAGCGCCGTAACAGTCGTTTGCTATTTTCTGTGTCATTTTATACATTACGCAACGTAATCATGTTCACTGTCACGCAAGCATACAACGAGTGACGATCTTGCTGACATTCTTTCAAAGCTGGTTCACGCAATGCTGTTTCATAGTACAGACGAAAAAGCCTCCTCTTTTATCAAGTGGCTATTATACCTGGAGGCCATAGCTATTAAAATTAGGTATAAAACTTTACGGCCGACTGGCTACATAACATAAAATTCGTTTGTAGTATCCCAGGGTCATGCTCGGTTAATCTGTATATTGTCATGTGCGTGACATTTCAGCAATATCATACCGGCAAAATTATTATCATACCGGACGACAGCGAAAACGCCGGTAATCCTCACCGATCGCCTAGGCTTCTTTCGTCAAAAGAGAACCAGGCTTTGCACGGGTGTTTTTGAATTGACCTTGGGGAGAGCTTGAATGATTGTGACTGATGTAATCAAAGGGGTATAGATGTCGAATTTTTGGCTGAGGTAAATATTTCATCTGAAGCAACTGGCTTGCATCGATTCAGTTCGACACGAATCGACTAATTAAACCCCAGATTCACTCTTCAAGAACAAAGGGAAAAAATGGGCTTTCTTACCTTACTCGCCATTTATATTTGATCTTACTTCATAACACCACGTTTAACCAGAGCAACCATAACCTGATATTGATTTCACCGTCAGGTTTATTTCAGGGACGGGAGGGTGAAGATTAAAATATAGCAGGAGATGGGTGGGGTTAAGGCATCTTGATTTGGATATCATCCTTTTTCGGTGATGTCAATTTCACGAATTAACCACAATTCTCGCATGTCTATCCTTTTAATGACTATTTGAGTTAGAATTTTTGGCGTAATTTCTGCTATTATAGCTTTAAGAGATTGACATCAATTATTTTCAACACAAAAATTAGCGAAAGAAATGTACGATGTTTCCACATCGTCGGATCTCAAAGTCAAGTAAATGTGTAGCTATCGTTAAGTGCCAACGAGACAAGTCAAGGCTTTGACCGTTTGGCACGCTGGCCGGTAGATCCACAGATGGCCCAAGCTTCAGCTGTGAGAAGACCATCTTGCGAAATACGAGTCATGGCGAAATTTTAAGAGTTTTTATGGGAATATTTACGACTGCTCTTAGGAATAAAAAAATACAGTCAAATTCTCAATGAAAATACCTCACCTTACTTTCACAGTGCGTTGCTTGTTATCTGACAGCTTTCTATGTTGAAAATAACCAATTTTAGCGAGTTCTCCATTTCAAGGTTCACCGCATAAGAGAAGCCCAAGGCGGCACGCGCCCGATCCGAGAGGCGAAAAATCCAAGCTCCAAATGACTGGGCGGCCACAAATCCAATAATTTGTTGGATCAATTGTAAGAAAGAGAGGAAAGAGAGAAGAAAGTTGGGATCGATTCACTACATATTTGGTAGAAAAGTCGGGTAGCAATTTCTGTTTAAGCTTTAAAAAATACAGTCGAACTTGTATTTTAATACAGGTTAAACTGTACTAGCGGCACGTGCACCCACGGGGAATGGCGGGATGACTGATACAGTTCACAGAATAAAGGTATTGTTAAAAACGATAAAAACGACATATTATGCCATAATTGACCACTTAATGCTCATGAACTCGCTCAAAAATACTACTTGTGTTGACTTCGGGAGATAAACGAGGATTAAATTTTACTCGAAAGATTCTTCCTAGTTTCGAATTCATTCTAGTAGTTCCGCTTTAATGACCGTTCAATACAGGTGGAGAACGATACAAGTAGGCCATTGGGACTCAGTCAAGGGTGACTACGACCACTTAATCCTTTAACTCCCATGAGTGACCAAGACAGAATTTCTCCTTACAATATCTATACAATATTAAGCAAATAAGTGATGAGAAGAAAGAAAAAGATCAATTTGGGGCTAAGTAGTCGATCCAATGCTAAATTCTCTGAACTAATATTATAAGAATTGTATGGTTGATAATAAGAGGAATTACAAATTTGATCTGGGAGTTAAAGGGTTGATAAGAATGAAAATTACAGTAATTAGTGGGGAAGAATCTCGAGAATTTGAAAACCGACTGCCCTATACAGGGTGACTGCTTAATACAAGTTCGACCGTTCAAAATTTGAACGTGAGAAGATGTAACTGAGATTTTGAAAGGGCAACAAAGAGTGCAGCGAGATTACGTCCTCTTTCAGCCGGGCAAACATCATCATTAAGTGATGTTCGTTAGTATTCATAAGCCCATTTTATCTTTCGTGACAGAAACAGCACGACTATCATTACTTGATAGTAAGGGTTAATCAACCGTGAACAAGTCGAATACTCTGCGTTCAGTTGGAACTTTGCTATATTGGTCTTTAACTACGGGAAGCGAGGAAAATTTCAGAAGATAATACCAAATCTGGCAAAGTAAAAATTTCCCTCTCAGTATAAATTGTATAATCCTGATTAAAGTCGATGAAAATTCAAGAAAATGTACCCACAGTTGTGGTTGTTACCCACAATGCAGTATGAACCTAATTCTTTTCTGTAACGGAAAAAATCTTGCCAGCCGAAAAAAAAAAAGTTCCAATTGTTCCCCGATATTGTTATTCTTGACAATTTTGTTTTGTTCGTAGAAGAAATAATTTTCAGCAGAAAGAAACATTCGCAAAAATGAAAATTCGTGATCGGTCCCTCATATTATCTTTAGAACCAACAGTTTGTGATGTGCAACCTGCAGGTCTTTTAATTTCTCAAGACCAGATCTTATGTTTTAGTCATTAAGAAACTACCCTGTTGTAAAATCAAAATTAACTTGTTAAAAATGACACTGTTGTGATACTCGGGGTCAGAACACCCGCGAGACAGGTGTACTCGCTACGCGGATTGGCCATAAAAAGGCGACGTTCTCTTGGATTTCTTTTTAATAGGTGTGCCACCAAATGGGGTTAAGAAGTTTACCTGGGGTCAGTAAGCTAACGCCAAACTAAATACTGACTACCTCGAAGGCGAATTAGGATTTTGATTAAAGACAGTCAGAAAGAAGGAAATATGAAAGAAGAAAAAATAACGAAAATTGCATTTTTGCTTATGGTGGCGCAGATTTCTTTAGCCGTGGAATTCGAAACATTCGCAGCGTTCTCTAACCACAAACAAGGAAAAAGCAGGTACAATGTTTAAAAATCTTGATTTGACGCAAATTTCTCCTTCGTCTTTTAACGTTTTCGAGCATTTCTGTCGATTTTTTTTTATACATTCATTTCCGGCTCCTATACAACCTTCTAACCAATTTCCGATCCTAAATCACAGAAATGACGAGAAGACAGTCAACTGTTGTCCAATTATTGGTAAGTGAGTAAGCAAACTTTTTGAAAAATAATAATATGCCAGTGAAAGGGTTGTCGTCATATGAAAAGGTCTGTTATCATTATTGTAGTTTGGCTGTCTTGCCAAGACTTGTTTGGTCATACGGTGAAACTACAATTATATTCTTCTCTTGCTTTAGAAACGGAAGTAAGAACTGCGATTTGGCCTTATGAATTAATGAATAAAACGCCTCTGAAAGACACTCTTATCAATACTATGCGCGATGTTTTCTTAGGAAAAATAGAAATAAACAGCGAGCACCGTCTTATAAGACAAAGGAAGGGGAAACACCTATAAGCTCGAGCATAACGCTTGATTACGTCACGAGCGTAGATTGACAAAAGGATAATGAAAGGTCATTCATTTATTATTGTTTCCTATCTCTGCTTCACTGAAGGCGTGCTCGCTCAAGAAACGGATGGAAATGTGACGAAATTCGGAAGTCAATTAATTGCAGCCACTTACGCCAAGTTTATCGAGTCTGCAGGAGGGAGAATGGTGCCTATTTTGTATCCTTTATAAATCTGGCCCTCTTGGAATCATGTATTTGCTCAACCTCTTAAAGATGTGACTTAACTTGACATAACTTGCCTCTCCACCCGGGAGTATAAATGGATACCGGCGAATTATCAGGGTAGCCTGATTATAACCGAGGTCATGCAAAGAATCGAGAGATCCTTCCGAACACGAAGGAAGGAATCCCCCCGACGGGGTCTTAATACGATAAGCTCCGAACTGTTTATTTTTTTAAGATTATTTCAGATATAGCAGTTATTCACGGACGTTTTCATAAGTTTCCCTCAGATTACTTACGAAAAGGTAGGCCTGTTTGGCCAAGTGCCTTTCGAGGCCGCTACTTAATGGCGAAACTTATTGTCATACCGTTTCCCTGTGTGTATAGTGTTTTTACGTTTCATTACGATATGAGCTCCACTTAAATAGATAGAACATTCTATATGATTAGATAAAATGCTTTTTTTAAATCAGTAGCAGCATGGCTACGCATAACATGATAAATAACGGAACATTCCGGAATATTCTGGAACATGACCCTATAGGGAAAGAAGCGTTCCTTGTGAACGTTTTATATTTAAAAAAAACTGGAATAAATTACAGCTGGATAGGACTCTTGGCTCAAATGCAAACTTTACCTTTTACTTATACTCATTTACTATGAGTCCATGAACCATGAGCCCATGAAATAATTTCCCCTGAAGGCCATGGTTGCTATTGTGCAAAAAAAAAATGGATGAGTCGGGAAAAGAACATGGAAACCTTTCTCAAAGCTTTCTCCCTACAAAACTGACAACATCTCTTTAAATTCACAGAGGTTTCCATGTTTGATTTTCTTGTGGTCGTGTTGTCGGCTTGTTCAGGGGCGTTACACGTCAGTATGCTTAACCGGGGAGACTTTCTGTAGTCTTTATAACATTCCCAGCGATTTGTTGTAAATGTGTGATTCTTAACCCTTAAATCAACATCCTGCAGCATTAACTCCACTGCTAAAGAAATTGAAAAATTATTTTATTCAATTAATGGGTAAGTAGAACGACAGTCAAAGCCGACCTCAAAAGATGGAACCGGCAAAATTCTTTACTATTAAGGTATTCTTTACGGTTACAATAGAAAGACCGGAAACGTGGTATGGTGTAAACGTCGATTAAGACTATCATTTGTCACAATGTTCGCTCTCGCTTGTTTCAAGGGCGTAGGCGAAATTAAGAGAAGGGGGGAGGGTCTGCTTACAGCTTACGCCACTTTCTGAAATAATTAGGGTTTTTATCATTATAGTTTTATTATTTTGAGGTCTACAAAATTCACGTTTTATGAATCAGATTTGCAAAAACGTGAAAATCTTAAGAGTCTTTGTGGCGCAACTTTTCTCCGGTGTCAGATACCCCATTTGCTGGTCCCTCTCACTGCTTAAATATCAGTCCACTGATACACAATATAGACCCGTGTTATAAGCCACCTCATGTAAGACACTCGGAAATTCATACCTGGGATACCTCCCTTTGAAAAACCCTTGCTATTGCGCTACGAACCTATACTGCCTCATCCCCACCCACCACCCCCCCTTCACCGGGCCACTTCTCATCATACATTTCATTTGTTCCTCATTCTCGACTTATTTTACTTTCGCTACTTTTCCTTGTCTATGACTTTTACGTATTTTAGTGCCATATATCCCGGAGGTCATAGGTTGTTACACCACACAAACTACACACGAGTAGGGAAACAGATATTAGAGCTGGCAATGAAGGTAAAGTTTCAAAACCAAATAAATTAACTTCTACGGTGATTTAGTGTTATCAACTGAGTTGATAGCGTGAATCGGCCATCGTAAAGAGTTTAAGAGCTTTTCAACTCTTTACGGTAGCCAATTTACGTTATTAACTCAGCTGATAATACTAAATTACCCTGTTATACTCTCCCACCGACGCAGCACCAAAGTTTCTTCAGAAACTTACCCTCTTTATTCAGTAAACTTCCACAATTCTTCCACTAACTCGCGCTGAAGTATGTCACTTGTAGATCAGTTTAGGTACCCTAATCTCCTTCAGTGAGAGTGATTAGTTATTTATAATATTTATCAAGCAATAGTTTTTGGAAGGAAGAAGCCTTAAAGATATGTCAGTGAAATGCAGCCATTTATCATCACCAAGCTGAATGGAATGAACAAAAAAATGCTACTTTGTGAAAACGCAAATTAACCTGTCAATTAAAGAACTAAATTGTGTCCCTGAACCACTAAGAATGGCAGCCTATGATTTATATTTAGGCACTTTTGTTGGAATCTACCCAAATTCATCTTAAAGCAAATTCTCTCAGTACTAAATTAATACTATTATATTCCTGTTATTATTATTGTTATTATTATTATTATTATTATTATTATCATTATTATTATCATTATTATCATTCTTATTATATTCATCACTATTATTATTGTCATCTAATGATTAAAATACACGATCCAAATTTATCATTATGAAAAAGAACCAAATGGTGCACAATTGCCAAGAACACATCATCTAATTAATAATGATAAAATTATTATTATTATCTTTTTTTTGTCGTTACTGATGATGGTTATTTTTGGATCTACTCGCTCTTCGACCATCTGTACCAAGTTAATTACAAAAGGATCCCAATTGGCTGATGGGTTTTACGGTAGTGGTTTAAATTTTGGCATTTTAATGACTAATGGTTATCACAAAATGACACAAAATGACACATTGTAAGAGAGTAAAATATTTTTACGGTTAACTTTTATCACGACTAACGGTTAAAATTTATCAGTTTTTACGCATAACGTTTAAATTTTATGACCGTTTCACGGCTAACGATGAACTCCATGGAGACCCTCTCAGAAAGTGAACAGCTTTTTATTACAAAGTATAACAAATATTTTTACAAAGTGCGACGATTTTATTACAAAGTACTTCAGGACAGAGGTAGACATGCAAACCCTTACAGGAAATTCAATTTCGCTATCATTTCAGAAAAAATGTCATTCCAATATCGTTACACACAGATTTCTTTTCCCCACTGCAGGCTTATGATAAAGGCGATATCTTTCCGATCTGGGGAGAATGTCTGGGCTTAGAGTTGCTTTCAATGCTGGTTGCTGGGAGAGATTTACGAGTGGGGCAACTGGACCACGAATTTTTCAGCGAAGTCGATGCAAAAAATGTCAGCCTAAAATTAATTCTTCCAAGAAGTTGGTGATGCATCTGTTTTATTATTTATATTAACGATCATGTAGCCAATTAGTATTTCAACTCTGTTATAGCAGTACCGCCACTGTTTTTGTTTAGTTTTGGTGGATAACGCTTACCTGTAAGATGGATTCAGGTGATGCAATAACATCTTTAGAAAAGAATTCCAAAGACATTCCGAAATTTTAGTTTGTAGAATAACCCTCCGGGCATTTCAAAACTCTTCCTGTAAGCTTAATGTTTTTGTAGTCAAACGAACCTTACTTAGCTCGCTTTCTGATGGATGACTGAGCACTGGACATTGGCCCGATGTTACAGGGATCTTCAAACTGTACAGTTTATCAAGAGGTTCTTCATGGGGTCAACCTTTGGCCGTAAAGCAGCAACAAAATTTACAGTCAGCCATAAAATGACAGGAATCTTAATTATTAGCCGTAAAGGCCATCACCCTTTTATCAAAACATTCGATAGATTAAATTCGCAGCAAAGGGGCACTTGAATCGTAAGATCACAGTTCGGTTTAAGCTGTCAAATAGACACAGATGTGACCCTCTACTGATACAAATCATTTTCGTTTTGCAGATTATAAAACAACTTCTCTATGGAAATTTGCTCCAAGACACGTTGTGAAATTCTTACAAAATAACAATGCAGCATACAACAATCACAGGAAGGCCATCACACTACAGGTTAGATGAAATTTTATTTCTTCTATCCTTGACGGAGGAATCTAAGTTATTATTATTATTATGATGATGATTATTATTATTATTATTGTCATCATATTATCGATTTCTATTTTGGCACAATTCATTGCGACAGTTTTAAGGGAACAGCCCGTTTATTTTTTGCTTGGTGTTAGAGGGGGATTTTGGGATGGATCACATGGTTTTCAGGGAGTACGGAACGGGGATCAGTCATTGCCAATTGCAACATAGCACATTGGGGAACTATAGAAAATTAACTGCACAATAATTGCTAATAAGGAGGAGCATAAGAATATTACAGTCAGCCTTCTAAGGAAATAAGGTAAATTTCATTGTGACATCATCCAATCCTTCCCCCCCCCCACCCCCTGACAAAAATATCAACCGGTCCCTAAACCGAAAAAATTATCGTATTGTTAATTTTGAGATCTTTCCAATAAGTTTTTTTTAGTGTTGGTGATTCTGTAGATGCGAAAATAAGGACAATAAAAAGAGAGAAGAACAGTATTGAGAAGTTTTAGCATCCATTACAGGACCTCCATGCTAAAGAACAACACCCACTAAACAGAGGGAGAGTTAACCTTAGCCTTGTGATTTAACCCTTAATCTGACCCCCCTAAGAGTGACCAGCATCTGATTTCTCCTTACAGTACAACCCCTGAATCAAACATTGAGGTCACGAGAATAAAGGAAATGATCACCAACTTAAGAAGCTGTTGATTGTAAAACAAATTCTCCTTGTCAGCACCTGAAGAAATGTATAGCGAACAGTGAGGAGAATATGCATACTAATGATAAGGTGTAAAGGGTTATTAAGTCTTTACGCCCTCACTTGTTTCAGATTATACACTGACCCATACTACTCTGTTCTTTTACGCCAGAATTATGGCAAGTACAGACGTCTAAATGCTTTTTTCAGAATCGTTTCAACCAGCAAAGATCGCCACGGGGTTGAATTTATTTCAACTATGGAAGGTAAGAACAAAAAGTATAAGGAATCTTAAAAAACAAACCCAAATATCATAAGCTTCGTCTGGCTTCCTCGCTACAATAGTTGACTCTTTTCAAGTTACAGTTTGTTCTGAAAAAATTATCAGTTCTAAATTTCTTACTTGTAATGTTTTTGTGCAAATAGAAAAGATAAATAGGAAGAATTCTTTTATCATATACTTTTGGTGATGGCAAGAGTCTAATTGTATTATTTACAGGTAAGCGTTATCCCGTCTACCTTTTCCACTGGCACCCGGCTAAATCCCAGTTTGAATGGCGCAGGGATCTGGACATTAATCACTCGCTGGCCGATGTTCTTTCAGGCCAGTATTTTGCAAATTTCCTAATTCAAAAAGGTGAGCTTGGAAAAAGATTTTAGTTCCTCTTCCATAACAAAAAATAGCTGATAATGTAATGATAATCCAGTGCCATTATTGTTATAATGATCCGCTGACCGAAAAAAAAACTCAGTAATCAAATTACACAAAACTAGTGGATCAAAATGCAGAGGCGGAACTAGAAAAAAATAACAGAAATTCATGCAACGATCTCTTCTATTCAAAGCACGTGATTCAAGGCGGAAAAATGTTTCCCTACATGCGGGGATGAGAATCAAAACAACACGTCACACAACATGTCACAACCAACGATGAACAACACCTGAACTTTTTGTTATATTTTGCTTGTTTTGCCTATAATTGAAATGAGTTGGAATCATTGTTTATTTCCTATAGTGTGATCGGTTAATTTCGTTTAAGTGATCCTGGTAACAGCAGTGAACTTATGAGAGTGCTGCGATCTAGACATGTTCTATTCTGACCTTGTAGTATCATGGAAGAAGATACTTTATTCATTAACCCTTTAACTCCCTTTGGTGACCAAGACAGAATTTCTCCTTACACTACCAATACAATATCAAGCAGGCAAGTGCTGAGAATAAAGAAAATATCAATTAGAAGATGATTAGTTGATCCAATACCAAATTCCCTAAACTAGCATCATAAGAATCGTATGGCAGACAGCAAGACAAATTACTAATAATGAAATCTAGGGAGGGAAAAGGTTAATTATGACAACAATAGCTGTAATGATAGTAATTCCTCTCTGTTGTCAGAGGAAGAGATGGCTTCTTTAATTTATAACTACAAACCAACTGCTGTACAAGACTACTTGCCTTTTATACAAGCTTACTTTTTTTAAGGTCACTCAACGACGACCTGTAGAAATCCTGTATAGAAAAGATCACTTAAACGAACAACAGGCGAGTAAACCGAACGGCGGTAAAGGTTTTCACGATCGCCAATGGAAATTACCGCCAACAAAACCTTTTTCTATCTCTGTATTTTCCACACTAGTTAAACAATACTAACAACATACGGGGAATGTGAATTTATGAAAGGTCTAGTCTTTGTAATTATTCATCTTTCTATGCCCTAATTATGGCTGAAATGACTATTGTAAAAGTAAGTTTATTATCCTTTTCAATCAAACTATAAAAACAACAAATCTGCGTGCGTGCGTTTCGTGGTCGTTTCTATCGGAAAGGGGGCAGGCGGGGGGAGGTGTGGGAGGGGCATCAGGTTTGTCGTTAAGATTCATCTCAGTTGAATTTCAGTCTGATTAAGCTGAAAACATTCAATGATATTAGTTAGGGATATATTTTAGTGCATCACCTTCGTCCACCTAACTCTTCAATGGTTATTTCTGAATCCTCATTGAGATATCCTCCAATGGGAATAAGCGATTTAAGAGCTAATGTCGTCATGCATCAGACAAACAGCGGCAAGTCCCCAAAATTCGTTTTCTCTCTTACTTTCATATTCTGTAGCCCAATATGTCCTAATAATTGTGGTGTAGTTTTTTGGTGAAAATATATTTTAGTTTTCGAGAAATGATCTTTTTCGTTCGACCGCTCAAATATGCAAATTTTCACCGTGAATATTATCCGAGTTGTGTGACCTCATGTAACGAATTTACTTGACCTCCGATATTTCTGTCAGCATAATCCTTTGTTTTAGTAGTAGGGGAGAAAACGAATTTTGGGCGACTTGCCACAATATTTCAAATTTGTTCGATGGATGCTGACATCCTCTCTTAAAAAAAAGGGACATATGCGGGATTTTGTTTCAAACCGGGATCCTTTCTTATTTCTTAAACAGAAACAAACAAAATGGATCCAAATCTACCCTATTTATGATAGTGAAAGTTACCTTTTTAACCATATTTACAAAACTGCCTCGAAAGGTCCGCGAAGGTAGCGTAACACCCAATTTACACAATTCCTCTGAGCATTAGACAGCTCACTTGAACTCCCCTGTATCTCGTGCTGTTTTACGCTTCCCTAAACAGTTCAAATACACGGAGTTCCATTGACTTAAACTCGTAAAAATTCAGCCTGATTTCCAAGAACTTTCTTGAATCTGGCCTTTCGGGAATCAAGTGTTTAAACTTGAACCCTGCAGAGTCGCTACGAATGTTGGGTCAAAATTCTTCCAAACTGACTAAAGGACCAAGAAACAAAAGGATTCGTATTCTTTCCGATCAGTAAAATTCCATCACTTTGCAGAACTTTTTACAAGACTTTGTTGATGTTTTCCATACCCTTTTACCAAAAAGTTGTTTTCACGGATGGTACGCCATCATTGGATTGGGGCATTTCTTCGTTGCTGATTATTTTGGGAAAATCCGCAGGAAAACTTCCACGACTTTCTAGGTTAACGATAAGTTCATTAACTACTGTGACAATAGGTTTTCCAGCTGCAATATATTTTTAGGTTTCCTTACTTGAACGCTGTCAAATCGGGGGAAATAGCTCGGCGGGAACGGAAACTTGATATCATTTCCTGGCACACGGAGATCAACCTCAATGGCGTTCTTACCGAGCTCAAGGAGACATGGTTTTTTAAAATAGTCAGCACTCGGTTCCAACATTAATTTATTGGGAATTTATCGTAATAAGTAATGGTAATCGGTCTGTAATCATACGAGGGATAACACTGAGGATTCCCTGTGAATGCGGCAAGGTGTACATCGGAGAGACTGGAATTAAGGAGCATGATCGAGACATCCGACTCGCCCGTACCGAGACCTCCGCCGTTTCAGAGCATGCCCACAACACCGGACACAAGCCACTCTGGAACGAAGTAAAGTTTATTGATCGTGACCCTTATTACTACACGCGCAGGGTGAAAGAGGCAATTCATATAAGACATCACCCTAACAACATCAACAGGGATAGTGGAATAGAAATTCTAGAAGCGTGGATGCCCACGATCAAAAAAAAATACAAAAACAGGAGAGCCGTGCGACAGCGGACCGCCGAGGGAGCAAATCACTTGATCGAAATGCACCAATCAGAGCTGTTGAAAACAACCAGTCACATCAGAGCATCATGCTTTATAAGATCACGCATGACCAGTCGACCTCATCGCCTGAAGAAGAATAGCAGTATGCAGTCGAAACGTCGCGATCTACATCACACGTGACTACATCGTGAGACAAACCAAAAACTTAGCTTTTATTGTTATTCACCACGATGACTAACCACGGTCTTTTTTACGAAATTATTCCAAGAATATAATGTCCAAGTAAAGTAACAGGAAGATAACTTATTCGATTGATAAGAAATTATCGCAAGGATATCTCTTCAGCTGCACGCCTGTAATTATGAGTGGAAAAACGGCTCGATAAAATTGAAAACGTAGGATCTTTGGCTACTAAATGAGCTGAGGCTACGATAGCATCGTCAAAGGAACAGTTTCCAAACACAATAAGTGCAGTTTGTGCTCGTTAATTGAAAAGCTGAACTACTGTTGGCTTTAAAACTTTTCTTTACAGCAAATCTGTCTAAGGTTAAAAAAAAATTGCCAGATAAGAATTGCCACTTGTTTGACAAAAGATAAAGAATATCCTGATTTAAACTTATAAAAAGAAGAGGACAGCCAATAGAAACAAGTCAAAACTCGAACAAGTCTATTCCATCTATTCGGAAAGCTTTTTATGTCAAGAAACATGCTGACCACGGGCTGTTACGAAAAATACTAATTTGAAATTTAATCTCGTGAGTTGTATTCAAATCTTCCGGTTATGTTACGAAATAATTCCTTTCATTGTCTCGTCTGGGAATCTCAGCAATTCAAGAAAATGACTTGTAACTAATTCTTACGATTTCTGTCCTCCTATTTCTCACTCCTTTTTTGTCTTACGCTTTTTAGAGGATTTAACACTACTTTCAAACCAGCTTTGACTCAAGGCGTCGATCCCATCGTTTACAACTGGAGCAAGACTATCTCCACCTGCACGTTTCCGGGAACGGTAGTTAGTGGCAGGAACATGACACCCCTCGGCTTGCTGTAAAATGTCCTGGGCCGAATGAACAGACCTCACGAGAATTTTGGTAGCTGGTACAGACGCATCATAAACACGCACAGGTCGTGGCTTTTTCTGGTAAATACTACGAGCAAGTTCGTGATACTCCTTGACCTTCTCAAAGTCGCCCAGTTTGTCGTGCACCAGACCCAAGTTATTGTAACTAGTTGCCACGTCTACATTCTCAGGTCCTAGCTTTTTCTGTCTAATACTCAGAGCTAGTTCGTGATACTCCTTGGCCTTCTCAAAGTCACCCAGTTTGTCGTGCGCCAGACCCAAGTTATTGTAACTAGTTGCTACTTGTACATTCTCAGGTCCTAGCTTTTTCTGTCTAATACTCAGAGCAAGTTCGTGATACTCCTTGGCCTCCACAAAGTCGCCCAGCTTGTCGTGCACCAGACCCAAGTTACTGTAACTGGTAGCCACATCTACATTCTCAGGTCCTAGCTTTTTCTGGTAAATACTCAGAGCAAGGTCGTGATACTCCTTGGCCTTCTCAAAGTCGCCCAGTTTGTTGTGCACCACACCCAAGTCATTGTAACTAGTTGCCACGTCTACATTCTCAGGTCCTAGCTTTTTCTTTCTAATACTCAGAGCAAGGTCGTGATACTCCTTGGCCTTCTCAAAGTCATCCAGTCTGTTGTGCACCACACCCAAGTTACTGTAACTAGTTGCCACTTGTACATTCTCAGGTCCTAGCTTTTTCTGGTAAATACTCAGAGCAAGTTCCTGATACTCCTTGGCCCTCTCAAAGTCGCCCAGTTGTTCGTGAATAGAACCCAAGTTATTGTAAGTAGTTGCCACGTCTACATTCTCAGGTCCTAGCTTTTTCTGTCTAATTCTCAGAGCAAGGTCGTGATACTCCTTGGCCTTCTCAAAGTCGCCCAGTTTGTAGTGCACCAGACCCAAGTTATTGTAACTAGTTGCCACTTGTAGATTCTCAGGTCCTAGCTTTTTCTGTCTAATACTCAGAGAAAGGTCGTGATACTCCTTGGCCTTCTCAAAGTCGCCCAGTTGTTCGTGAATAGAACCCAAGTTATTGTAACTAGTTGCCACTTGTACATTCTCAGCTCCTAGCTTTTTCTGTCTAATACTCAGAGCAAGTTCTTGATACTCCTTGGCCTTCTCAAAGTCGCCCAGTCTGCTGTGCACCACACCCAAGTTACTGTAACTAGTTGCCACTTGTACATTCTCAGGTCCTAGCTTTTTCTGTGTAATACTCAGAGCATGGTCGTGATACTCCTTGGCCTTCTCAAAGTCGCCCAGTCTGTTGTGCACCACACCCAAGTTACTGTAACTAGTTGCCACTTGTACATTCTCAGGTCCTAGCTTTTCCTGATAAATACTCAGAGCAAGTTCTTGATACTCCTTGGCCTTCTCAAAGTCGCCCAGTTGTTCGTGAACAGAACCCAAGTTACTGTAACTAGTTGCCACTTGTACATTTTCAGGTCCTAGCTTTTTCTGTGTAATACTCAGAGCAAGTTCGTGATACTCCTTGGCCTTGTCAAAGTCGCCCAGTCTGTCGTACACCAGACCCAGGTTATTGTAAATAGCTGCCACGTCTACATTCTCAGGTCCTAGCTTTTTCTGTGTAATACTCAGAGCAAGGTCGTGATACTCCTTGGCCTTCTCAAAGTCGCCCAATCTGTTGTGCACCACACCCATGTTAATGTAAGTAGTTGCCACTTGTACATTCTCAGGTCCTAGCTTTTTCTGTGTAATACTCAGAGCAAGTTCGTGATACTCCTTGGCCTTCTCAAAGTCGCTTAGTTGTTCATGAACAGAACCCAAGTTATTGTAACTAGTTGCCACTTGTACATTCTCAGGGCCTAGCTTTTTCTGGTAAATACTCAGAGCAAGTTCGTGATACTCCTTGGCCTTCTGAAAGTCGCCCAGTTTGTTGTGCAATACACCCATGTTAATGTAAGTAGTTGCCACTTGTACATTCTCAGGTCCTAGCTTTTTCTGTGTTATACTCAGAGCAAGTTCGTGATACTCCTTGGCCTTCTCAAAGTCGCCGAGTCTGTCGTGCACTAGACCCAAGTTATTGTAACTAGTTGCCACTTGTACATTCTCAGGTCCTAGCTTTTTCTGGTAAATACTCAGAGCAAGTTCTTGATACTCTTTGGCTTTCTCAAAGTCGCCCAGTTGTTCGTGAACAGAACCCAAGTTACTGTAACTAGTTGCCACGTCTACATTCTCAGGTCCTAGCTTTTTCTGTTTAATACTCAGAGCAAGTTCGTGATACTCCTTGGCCTTCTCAAAGTCGCCCAGTCTGTCGTGCACCAGACCCAAGTTACTGTAACTAGTTGCCACTTGTACATTCTCAGGTCCTAGCTTTTTCTGTCTAATACTCAGAGCAAGGTCGTGATACTCGTTGGCCTTCTCAAAGTCGCCCAGTTGTTGGTGGACAGAACCTAAGTTATTGTAACTAGTTGCCACGTCTACATTCTCAGGTCCTAGCTTTTTCTGTCTAATACTCAGGGCAAGTTCGTAATACTCCTTGGCCTTTTCAAAGTCGCCCAGTTTATCGTGCACCACACCCATGTTAATGTAACTAGTTGCCACGTCTATATTATAAGGTCCTAGCTTTTTCTGTGTAATACTCAGAGCAAGGTCGTGATACTCCTTGGCCTTCTCAAAGTCGCCTAGTTTGTTGTGCACCAGACCCAAGTTACTGTAACTAGTTGCCACTTGTACATTCTCAGCTCCTAGCTTTTTCTGGTAAATACTCAGAGCAAGTTCTTGATACTCCTTGGCCTTCTCAAAGTCGCCCAGTTGTTCGTGAACAGAACCCAAGTTATTGTAACTAGTTGCTACTTGTACATTCTCAGGTCCTAGCTTTTTCTGGTAAATACTCAGAGCAAGTTCGTGATACTCCTTGGCCTTCTCAAAGTCGCCCAGTCTGTCTTGCACCAGACCCAAGTTGCTGTAACTAGTTGCCACGTCCACATTTTTAGGTCCTAGCTTATTCTGGTAAATACTCAGAGCAAGGTCGTGATACTCCTTGGCCTTCTCAAAGTCGCCCAGTCTGTTGTGCACCACACCCAAGTTACTGTAACTAGTTGCCACTTGTACATTCTCAGGTCCTAGCTTTTTCTGGTAAATACTCAGAGCAAGTTCGTGATACTCCTTGGCCTCCGCAAAGTCGCCCAGTTTGGCGTGCACTAGACCCAAGTTACAGTAACTAGTTGCCACGTCTACATTCTCAGGTCCTAGCTTTTTCTGGTAAATACTCAGAGCAAGGTCGTGATACTCCTTGGCCTTTTCAAAGTTGCCCAGTTGTTCGTGAACAGAACCCAAGTTATTGTAACTAGTTGCCACTTGTACATTCTCAGGTCCTAGCTTTTTCTTGTAGATACTCAGAGCAAGTTCGTGATGCTCCTTGGCCTTCTCAAAGTCGCCCAGTTTGTCGTGCATTACACCCATGTTAATGTAACTAGTTGCCACTTGTACATTCTCAGGTCCTAGCTTTTTCTGGTAAATACTCAGAGCAAGTTCGTGATACTCCTTGGCCTCCGCAAAGTCGCCTTGTTTGTAGTGCACCACACCCAAGTTATTGTAACTAGTTGCAACACTGGTGTGCTTAGGTCCAAACGTTTGAGGAAAAATTGCAATGAAAATTCATAGAATTTCTTTGCGGCCTGAAAATGACAATGGTTCTCACATATCTTTCCGAGATTATCCATTTCAGGCTGGGTGATTTGATGAAGGGCAACTTTCGAAAGTACGTTTTCAAAGCTAAGAATGAAATTTTTCAAATGTAGGGCAAGGGCGTGGCTTTGCAAAATTGAATCTGACGATTCCTTCGGTAGGTTGTCATCTATAAACTGGTTAAACACTGCAACAGCGCTTTTTAAAGTTTTAATGTGATGGCTTTCCGGATAGCCCTTAATCAAAGACTTTACGACATCGCGCACAACCTGATGTACCCGTATGTGGAAACCGAACTCATCTTCATGCGATAAAATTAGCGAACATCTTTGGAGTTTCATAGTTATCATCTCTTCATCTTTTATTCCTTCATCGACGCTTACGATATAATTCACCAAGATATCCGCATTTAAGGGTTGTGACGAAAGGAGGCAGAGAAAACTTAATGCATGATCTATGATTCTGTCTGATTGCATCACTTCTTTAATGGCCAGTCTTGTTGCTGTTGTCATCGATTTCTTGTAACATGAGTTGGTCTCTGTAAGTAGAGTCTCTGTCGCATCACGTTGCCCTTTCTCTACTTTCCTCAGAAAGTCATTCCATCCAAACTCTGAGAAACGTTTGCTCTGTCGGAGTTGCTTCACATAGGTGGCTGCGCTTGCTAAAGCAAGAGGCTGGTAGTCGAGTTCTCTAGCTACTAGTTCTCCTATCTCACTATCGCTGATACCAGAAATAAGGGCTAACAAAGAACACGCCTCTTGGGACTGCATACCCTCGCTGACTGAGATGTGTCGAATGGAAGTGCTTGTTAACGGTATACATGGACTATCTTGGGTTGTGATCAACAGATACCCCCTTCCCCATTGTCCGTGTCCTTGCTGGGGTAAATGAACATACATTTCAGATAAGCTTTTCACGTTGTCAGCCAACAGAAGCCAGGACTCATACTGACCGATCTTTGAGCTGACTAAGGATATCAGGCTGTTAATCTTGTCCTCTGTCTTCAAATCTTTGGAGATTTGGATTTGTGTAATCGCATCTTCGGGGCACTTCATTTGTCGAGCGAACGTGATGTAAGAGTCTGAAAGTGTGCCTAGCGTCTCGGCATTCAATGTCATAACAAAAACTTTAGAGAAGGAATCTTTTTGGGCTTTCTCGTAAAATCTCTCGGCTACAAGACCTGCCAGTTGGGATTTACCGCTTCCAGGATTTCCGGATACATACAAGATACTTAAAGTGCTCGCATCAGCTCCCTTCAGCTCCTGCAGCTGGTTAGTGATGTTAGCAACCTCAACATCACGACTTGCTATGTCGTGTGAAGGTTTAGGAGGGAGAATGCAAAACGGGGAGGTGTCGTTCAGTAGTTGTTCTGAAAGAACCTGTCGTAGAAGTTCAGATTTCTCCAGCTGATCGTCAAGGTTCTTCAGTTGTTTTTCTTTGTCTTGTAACTGTTCTTCAAGGCTCTTTCGTCTCTCTTCTGTTTCCTTTAAACTATTTTTAAGGTTCTTTTGTCGTTCTTCTGTTGTCTTGAGCTGATCTTTAAGGTTCCTGCGTTTTTCTTCTGTTTCTTTTAGCTCATTTTCTTTTTTTTCTAAGAGATCCTCAAGGCCCATTCGTTTTTCTTCTGTTTCGTTAATCTCATTTTTAAGAGCTTGTAGTTGTTTTTCAGTTTCCTTGCGCTGATCTTCAAGACAAATTCGTTGTTTTCTTGTTTCCTTCAGCTGATCTTCCAGATCCCGGCGCTGACTCTCTGTCGTCTTCAGCTGATCTTCCAGGTCCTTGTTATCTTTCTCTTTGATGTCCAAGTCTTTCTTTAAAACTTTCACTTTGTCTAAGAGATCTCTTACCTCCTCTGTCGGAAACGTCTTTTGGTTTGTGAGGTCTTGAATTTCTACAGTGGAAAGACCTAGTGCTTGGAATGCAGCAAAAACTTTGCCAATGGCAATTTTAAAGTCTAACTCCGAAAGTTGACCTTGTGGCATATGAGCAAACTCTTCATTGCGAAATTTTCTGAGATCGTCGACATTCGTTCTCACCACCGCGTTTAGACTGTAGATGCAATCTGAGTAGAGAATGGCGTAAAACAACATGGTACAATCCCATTCCACTCTATTACCTTTAATCATGGTCGACAACATATGCTTGTTCCTCCTTTGGTTTCGCGGGGACTCGTTACTGTAAAAGTCTTTCCCGTTACTAGGATAATCTTTCCATTCTCCAAGAGTCGTCCCGTAACGACTGTCCCATTCATGCTTGAAAATTTTTCGTAAACCTTCGGTTAGGATATCAGTTGTGACGTGACAAATCTTGTAATAGTTTAGTTGCTCATCAGTATATTCTTTTGCGGCGGCCATGTCTTTTGTAGGCGTGTCTTGTAAGCCTTTGTTGAAAATATTAATATCAGCTAACAGTCAAAAATAATTACCAAATCTACAACTTCAAAGAGTAAGTAAACTATTTCAAGCTAGAACAAAAACTGGTAACGGTAGTTTTAGACCTGTGCTAGCGCCAAAAGAGCTCCGTGCTGAAAGATGGCATGCAGTCTATTTAAGGTTACTTCCCACATTCGCGGTTATCCTTCGGAAAAAAAAAAAAAAAATTCGTAGGCGCGCTAGTTTCTCTAAAATCCTAGCAAATCGTACATCAGAAGAAAATTTAATAAATGCAGTTTATGAAAAAAAATTTATAATTTAAGTGAGTTTTCCTTAAAGGAAGTGTCAGGAGCCGGTAAGGCGTGAAACGACTGAGGGTTCTTCTATTGAGGTTATCGGGTAACGGATGCCGCATCCCAAGCAAAATGGTCGCACAGTCTTATTCACAAGGAATCAATCAACAAAGGCGCACTAGGGATTTTCGATATTCTGATCGGTTGCCTAGATATGGGCAAAGCTTAAAATATGCGAGGCGGGTTGCATAAATGGACGCCACGAGACAAACATTTCAAATATCAGAATTTCACGACACATTTTCGTTTTTCTTCAGGTGTGTCGCGTATCGACATCTCCGCGGTATTTTTTAAGAACAGAAAATGGCCAATCTCCCAAGTTCCCGTGTTGAACCTGCGCCACAGTTCTGATATTGTGCGGTGGACTATTTCAGTCCGTGATATATTAAAAAGGCAGGAAAGACGTTAAAAGGTACCGAGCCCTACTTATTTGCTTGGCTAGTCGTGTGATACATATCAAAGTAGCCCACCCCATGGAAACAGATTCATTCTTACAGTACGGCGCTTCACCTGTCGGAGAGGACAAATAAAAGAGCTTCGCAGTGACCAAGGAACTAATTTTGTTGGAGCCGAAATCAAGTTAATGGCAGCGCTTCAAGAAATGGATGATGACAAAATTAAGGCAGAGTTACTTAAGGAGAGCATTGATTGGATCAGAAACCCTGTTACAGCAAGTAAGTCGTTTGGGAACGACAGATTCGGTCCGTGCGGAACATTATGGCAGCACTTGTAAAACAGCATGGTCACAGCTTAAACGACGAATCATTGCCAACTATGTTATGTGAAGCTGAAGCTGTTGTAAACAATCGTCTTCTGACTACCAAGACCTTAAGTGACCCGCTCTCACCGATGCCACTATCGCCAAGTACCCTTCTTACTGGTAAAACTAAGCTCATTATCCCCCACTACAGGAAAGTTTCAACAAGAGGATACTTACTGCAAACGTCGCTAGAGGCGCGTACAGCATATTTTTAACAAATTCTGGAACACGTGGAGTAAAGAATATCTTCAGATCTTACAGTTGAGACAAAGGTGGACACACAAGAGAAGAAACTTCACGGAAGGCGACATTGTTTTATTAAAAGATAACAATTCTTGCAGGAATAAGTAGCCTATGGCTAAAGTGCTTACCACACGTCGTGATGATGAAGGCCAAGTCAGATCGCTGACTACTCAAGCCAGAACTGGATCAGTGTTGGATCGACCAGTCAATAAACTTGTGCTGTTGTTAGAGTCACCTGAGGATAGACCGGGAATCCCCGACGAGGAGCCTGAAAAACCGTAACGTACCAGAAACATGATACCTAGAACGCATGGCAATTCTAATATTTTGAAGGAGTTTGAGTAAGACTTGTTTTTGTTAAAATGATGAACATTTTAGGGGAACCATGATAATGTTAGGTTTCCTGTGCACAAGGCCCAGCCTCTGCCAAGATTTTGTCATTCGACTCTGGGTCAAACCTCGACGCACATGTGTTTTACCGCTGGTTATTTTCGCCTCTATTTTTCGGATGTGGATCGTTTAACAAGACTCACACCTTTGGAAAAGAACATTACGGAACCATTGCAGATATTGTAGCAATTTTCAAGGTTACGGACAAGGACACTTGCTTATTTGTAAGGAATTCTCATACGGTATTTTATTCGAACGGTATGCGATCTGCACCATTTCAAAAAGGATAAATAATTAATTTGGATATTTGGATGATAAACCTTTACTAGTTTGTATCTAAATCATGTGACTGAAGTTGTGTCGAAACGACTTTCTACGTGTATCGGATCGACCAAATCGATGTATCGAATCAACTTCAGTTTGTATCGAATCATCTTATAAGGAAACGACCGTAAACGGTTGCATTTATCCTACGCCCGGCAAACATCGTGTGACCTAAAGTGTTCCCTTAAGGCCTGTCACACAAATTGCATGCATCGCCGAACATGTGTCGTTGTATGAAAACTGTGCCATTTCACGCCGAGAAACTATTCCAGAAACTATTCCAGAAACCATTCCATCCCACACAGAAACGAGGAAAAAAAATGAGTTCTACGATACTTATTTCCTGGTTTCAATCCTAAAAATAAGCGTGATCACATCGTCAAGAGCACGAAGGTCTTCTTTTACGTACAATGCATGGTTGATGTGGTCGCCATTGCGAGATCCAATTATGCACAATGTTGAGTCGCCTTGCTTGAAAACAAGCGACGAAGAATTTCTCAAGAGGATATTTGATTTAAGAGACTGTTGTATGGAAAGTGCCTATTGAGCAGAGCGAACTGATTGGATTAATGTGAGGCGCATCAACAGCGGTGCGATCCTACATTGAAAGTGACGAGTTTATCAGACAAACAATAAAATATTTCATTGCTGAAGTAGTCACCATTCAGTTCACATGCACCCTAACTAAACAACTGTGATTTTTCACTTGTTCAAACAGAGGCATGTATCAAGCACAGACAACCGGCAAACTGTGAAGTGAATATTGATCATCATTATTTCTAGTGATTTGTAAAAGCAAATCAAATTAACGCTGTTATTGCCCATTTCAGAAATAATTCCAAATGAGGTATTGCCCTTGTCCAGTGAATCTTTGGTCGTGAGCCACCAGGTGCACGGAAACAACATTAGCAGACATAAACAGAAAAAGAATAAGTAATCTTGCCTGAATACTTGATCTCACATCGTGTAATCACCAGTAGCGAAGGCGGAAATTTCTCAAGCAGGAATCTGTTTATCACTGCAGTGCAAAATGTTGGTCCTTCTACTAGGTTTGATGTGGAACAGCAGTCACCTCAACGCCATTGTAAATACAGACTAAGGTCTTGAAGCGATTGATCAAAGTTTGCAAGTTGTTACACAGCAATTCAACGACCGGCTGCCTAACTACGAAATCGGTGAATTAGAGCGTAAGCGGAAGTCGAAACTGAAAGCACTTGGTCAGCACAATAGTTATGTTTCGTTTGAAGCCTTGGAAAAATGAAAGGAGGATAAGAAGAAATTTACGATGCGGAATTACGAGATGAGAAATAAAAACATTTCAAAAGTGATAAATAATTAATTTGGTTGTTTGGTTGGTTAACTTTCACAATTTTGTATCTAAATCATGTGACTGAAGTTGAGTCAAAACTACTTTCTACGTGTACTGGATCGACTTAATCGATGTATCGAATCAACTTCAGCTTGTTGAATCACATTAAATGGAAACGACCGTAAACGGTCGCATCATCCTACGCCCGGCGTGGTGAAACATCGCGTCACTAACGTATTCCCTTAAAGCCTGTCACGCAAATTGCATGCATCGCCGAACATGTGTCGTTTTACGATTACGAAGCAGGTCGTTTTACATTCTTTAGTAAATGATTCAGTTCATATGCATCCTAACTAAACTACTGTGATTACTCACTTGTTCCAACAGAGGCGCACGAGATGAGAAATGAAAACATTTCAAAAGTGATAAATAATTAATTTGGTTGTTTGGTTGGTTAACTTTTACTAGTTTGTATATAACTCATGTGACTGAACTTGAGTCGAAACGACTTTCTACGTGTATCAGATCGACTTAGTCGATGTATCGAAGCAACTTCAGCTTGTATCGAATCACCTTATATGTAAACGACCGTGAACGGTTGCATTTGTTCTACGCCCGGCGTGGTGAAACATCGCGTGACTTAGCGTATTCCCTGCATAGCCGAACACGTGTCGTTTCCAAATGCCGAGTTGTATGGAAAACTGTGCCATTTCACGACGAGAAATTGATGAAAAGTACCTTATCGATTCCACAACAAAATGTGGGCCATTGCGTGAAAATACATGAAACTTAACCTTTCCTTGGAGTGCATTTTTGGTACAAAAGTCGGGAATTTCAAATATGAATATGCTAATTTACGATTACGTATCAGGTCGTTTTACATTCTTTACTAATTAATTCAGTTCATATGCACCCTAACTAAACTACTGCGATTTTCCACTTGTTCCAACAGAGGCATGTATCAAGCATAAATAGTCGGTAAACTGTGAAATGAATATTGGTCATCATTATTTCTAGCGATTTGTAAAGGCAAATCAAATTAACACAATTATAATTATAATTAATATAATTAATTTGAAAAATAATTCCCAATGAGGTATTCCACTTTTCCAGTAAATCCTTGGTCGTGAACCATCAGGTGCACGGAAACAACATTAGCAGAAATAAATAGAAAAAAGAATAAGTAATATCACCACAATACTTGATACTTGATACTTATTGCCCCTGTCCAGTGAATCTTTGGTCGTGTGCCATGTGCACGGAAACAACATTGTCTCGCAAAGGCACTGAACAGTCTTGGACTAACGCAGATGGTAAATGGGGTAACAAGACCTGCCTCTGATGCGTGCTTAGACCATATTTATTCTAGTCATCCTGCTAGAATTAGAGAAGTATCCATAGGTAAATCTGGACTTTCCGATCACCTTCCGGTCACCATCTTGAGGTGCTACAAAACCATGGATGCACAACGTAAACAACATTCCAAAATCAAATACAGAAATATCGACAAAATCAACAAAGAGTGCTTTCTGCGAGACCTCAGAGAAGCCCCTTGGGATATCTCCTTTGTTTTTCGAGATGCCGATGACATTGTTGAATCTTGGTACAAAATCTTTAATGACATTCTTGATAATCACGCACCTTTAAAGTCCAAGAGTGTGAAGAAAATCAATCAGCCAAAATGGTTCACTAATGATCTATACAACGAAATAAATAAACGCGATAATCTTCTAAAGAGGGCCAGGAGAACACAAAATAAGCAAGATTGGTCTGCTTTTTAAACTGGTTAAAAACAAAGTGACGAGGAAACTAAGAAATGCGAAGGAACAGTACTTTTAAAACTCAGTTCAGTAAAAATCAAAAATGTCCAAAGAAACTTTGGTCTTTAATTAAAGACCTATCTAAAGATACAAAGAATAACGACGACTCCGTCCCTATTGCTGACGAAAACAACAACTTGATAAAGGATGACCATTCAATCGCTGAACGCTTTAACCGCTTCTTCGTTGATGTATATAAACGTCTCATAAAGTCGACACCTGTACTTCATTATGATGCTCTTCCTGGTCCACCAGACAAATCTAACAGTCAAATTGAAAATCTTATTCCGCAAATAACTCCTAGTGAGGTTAACGATTATCTTCTAAGTATACCTACACACAAAGCCACGGGAATCGATGGGCTTGGTGCCAGAGTTCTAAGGATTGCAGCTCCTGAAATATCATGCTCCATAGCTAAAATTATAAATCACTGTATTGAAACTTGTACATTTCCTCACAATGGAAAATAGCAAAGGTTAAACCTCTTTTCAAGAATCAAGGAAACAAGCAAGATATTCAAAACTATCGTCCTATTAGCATTTTGCCTATTCTTTCTAAAGTCTTTGAAAGACACATCTTCAATGCTGTGAACACCTACTTAACAGAAAATTCACTTTTATACCGCTTCCAATCAGGGTTCCGTAAAACCACTCCACGGATACTGCTTTGTTGTTTCTTCTGGACCAAGTCCTTCTTGACCTTGATAAGAACAACGTCAGCGGCTTAGTTTTTGTGGACTATAGCAAGGCATTCGACTTGATCAATCATGACATTCTCCTGATAAAGTTAAGATCATATAGATTTCCAGATAATGTTGTAAAGCTATTGCAGAGCTATCTACTCAATCGCAAACAGTGTGTTACTGTAAATAACTCGACTTCGTCACAACTTACGCTAACCAATGGAGTTCCTCAAGGTAGCATATTAGGACCTCTACTGTTTTTAATTTTCGTCAATGATCTTCCCGAAGCTGTTGGATCGGACTCAACTATTCATGCTTACGCGGATGACACCACATTTAAAGCCAGCGCTAATATCGATAATGCACCTTTGGAATTGGAACGACGTCTTCAAGAATACATGGATAAATTAAGTAAATGGTCTAGCGAAAATGGGATGGTCCTAAACGCCGTTAAAACCAATGCATTACTTATCACCGGAAAGAGGCTACATTCATCATTAGCGGAAGGCAATCACCTGTCAATAACCCTTGATGGGGCCGAAATAGAACAAGTAACTTCTTATAAATTGCTTGGTGTAACACTCGATCAAGATCTTACATTTAGCGACCACATTTCTAGTCTAAAGGCCAAGCTTTCTCAGCGTATTGGTTTATTGAAGAAGATAAAGAGGTACCTTCCAATAAAAGAAAGACTCTTATACTATAACGCCTTGATTAAACCCGTCCTTATGTATGGGAGCATGGTTTGGAATATCTGCGACGCTAAAGAACTCCACTGTCTCCTAAGGTTACAGAAAAGGGCTGCCTGAGTAATCCTTGGAGTTGACTCTTATTCTAGAAGTGTTATAAACTTTAGTAAACTAGGCTGGTTGCCTTTTTTTTTGATGAAATCAAACTAAATAAGTGTACAATGATTTTTAAGAGCCTTAAAGGCGATGTTCCGATTTACATCAGAGACTTGCTCAAGACGAACAGTTTCTGTACACAATAGGTCTACTAGACATGGCAATTTAAATTTAGTGTGCCCCAAATACCTAAGAAATAACGATGGTGGCAAGGCATTCAGTGTTGACGCAGTTAAGTTATGGAACAGCCTTCCCCATAATATCAAAAATAAGCCTAGTATAAAACTATTCAAAACAGCTGTGAAAAAGTATTTTATAAGCTCATATAGAAACCTGGACAACTTTGAAACAATATTAAGCAATAGCACATTATCTAATTTTAATTTTTTATAAATTAATTTTATCTTTCTGAATATTTTTAATATATCCTGCTATTTCTATCATAGAATTTTGTAATTATTTGTATATTTATCTATTTATTAGTATTATTTTGTAATGCTGTATAATCTAGTTAGAGGGCCACAGGTTTGTCAGCTTTTCAGCTGTTACGTGTCCCCCTCTATAAATAAAGTCCTTATTATTATATTATTATTAGCAGACATAAACAGAAAAAAAGAATGAGTAATCTTGCCAGAATACTTGATCTCACATCGTGTAATCACCAGTAGCGAAGGCGGAAATTTCTTAAGCAGGACTCTGTTTATCACTGCAGTGCACGATGTTAGTCCTTCTTTTGGGTTTGATGTGGAACAGCAGTCACCTCAACGCCACTGTAAGTAAAGATTACGGTCTTGAGGCGATTGATCAAAGTTTGCTAGTTGCTACACAACGGCCGGTGACCAACTATGAATTCGGTAAATTACGGCGTAAGAGGAGACGAAACTGTAAATACTTGGTCAGTACAATAGTTATGGTTCGTTTGGAGCCTGGGAATAGTGGTGGGAGGATAAGAGGAAATTAAGAAATGGGAAATGAAGTCAAACTACGGCTCAAGTTTGCTGTTGTTGTCGTCTTTTTTATGTGAAATTTTCTCATTCCGCTTCGTCTTTTCTTGGGACGTAATTAATTTTTTTTTTAAGTATGTCATGGTTCATTGTGCAATTACTATCATTCAATACTGTTGAAAAGAAAACAAAAACCGCTACATGATCAGGTCTAACGGAAGTCCCTGAAAGATAAACTTTCAAAAAAAGAAACATCATAGGCGTACATTATTTAAAACTTCCTTTTCTTTAATTCTATGCCACTCACTCCATTTAAATAGTATGTTTCATTTTAGCCTTGGTCCCATGTTTCTCTCTGCATTCTTGAGGGACTGGGGAGTGATATCCTTTGACATTTTAACTGTTACTGTCATGACAACTGGAAGTTGGTTAGTGCTTTGGGCAAGACATTGAAAATTGTTGTGCCATTAACCATCGAATACACTGAAGAAAAAACTTTAAAATTGATATTCTGTGAATAATGGACAATACAGGCTCATCACACCATAGAACGGTATAAAAAAATGAGCTAACACAAATGTTTGATTCCTGTCTTAGGGAACATTGTTTCTGTATCAATGTGTTATTTGTCACAGACTATCATCACTCTATCAACCAAGCTCATCTTGGCATAAACCTATTTTGCAACAATTATTCCAAATCAGAGACCAAATTCTAAACTCTCCATATATTTTAAAGAATCTTGGATCATTCAGTTACATCTGTTGAGTAGAGTTTCCATTCCATGTGTTATTGTCGTTATCTTCATCATCTCTGTTGTGAAGCCAGTGAATTCCACCTTCTTTCTTTACAGATGAAACATCACCCAGGACTCTATGACATACAGCTGAACTGCCATGAAAATAAAATCAGCAAGAAAGATTGGCATGTATCCTTATGAAGGAAGGAGTTTAGATGTTGTTCATGACTTTGAATTTGACTAAGAGTCTGTTTATTTCATTACAATTATTATTTTGGCCATGTTTTTCTTGTCAAAAAAAAAAAGCCTATGACCCCAAATTCACAAAAAGCAATATTCTACTCACTGCTCACTGAAAACAACAATATAAAACAAGAGACCATCTTTGTTTTATTTTCAAATTGTGATCATTGAATATCAGTCTTGAGACACCAGTGGAAAAATATGTGCACTTTCAAGCATTCACAAGCTGTTTAATTCTCTAAAACTTTCATCTATCTAACGTCAAGCAAAAAAAAAAAAAACAATGGACAATAAAATTGATTGTAAATCAAATTCTTCAAACTTACTTTAATATCAGGGAATATTTTTTGCTTTTTCTATTATGGCTTTTCAGAAAAAAATTCATTCTTAACACCAACAAGCAAACAACCAAACTAGTTTGATAAAGTTGAACAACAAACTATGCAGCTGTTTACAAAAGGCAAACAACAAAAAAGAGACTCACTTTGATGGTTGTGACTGTGTGCTGCTGTTTGTTCTCTGTGAAGGAGGATTCTGTGTCCCTCTAGACTGATCCACACTATCAAATAGGAAAGCCTTCAGGAAGTTAATCGATGTGAGCAGAGGTGAAAAAATCCATAACAACAGTTCAGGGAATGATGAAGTCCCAGATGGAGTGAGGGAATTACTACCTTTCTGTAAAATGACAGTTCAGTAAACTGCTTACTTATGTCTTTAAGTTTTGGGAAATTTCTTCAAATGATAGGGGGGGAATGTGGAAATTCACTCAAAGAATTTAAGGAAACATTTCTCACAAACACAATTATAATTAACCAATTAAAATAACAAGAAAAAACAAAAAAGATTGAACATTCATTGGGAATGAAGGAGAAGAAAAAAGCTAAAGTTGGTTGCATGTGGCACCCAAGTTTTCCTAAAACACAACCCTGCTTTGATTTCCTAAAGTTTCAACTTCAATTACCTAAAACTAAGTTACAAAAAGTAACCTTTAACTCCCAAGATCTAATTATTAATTCTCCTTTCTAGCTGCCACACATTTCCTTTTAAATGATTGATGAGAATTTGGTGTTTGATCAACATGGCAACTTCTAGCTGATAACTTTGAGTAATTTCTCATTACCTGTTTGCTGGACAATGTATGGATATTTTTTAGGGAGAAGTTACAAGCCCATCACCTCTGGGAGCTAAAGGGTTAAACAGAACTCATTGGTAGGCCAAGCCATGTGCTAGGTTCACATGAGACAAATATTCACTCTTTTCAATGGATGAATGTTTTAAAAAACAACCTAATATTGATCTTAAACTTACCACAGCTACAATTAAAGTGGAACTAAGTGCCAGACCTAACTCAGCCAAAGTCTTTACCAGGTCTTCTTTGGTCAGCTCCTGCCTAAGGTAGGTGGTGCACATTGTTATTCAGCTGGAACTGGGTCCTAGTTGCTGAGAACAATTGAAAAGATCCACATTATTAACACTTATTTTCAGTAAATTTTCAACAAATTTACTCA